AAAGATATTTTCTTTTATTGCGCGCGCGCGCGGACATTTAAGCCTTTGGGGTTGAATTTTTTTAGCGCATATTTGTTTCAAGAGTGTCAGGAAAAATTTTCAAGTGCAATTAATGAAGTTAACATTGATTTACTGTCAAAAAAGTCGCATTTTTTCACAAAAAACGCGCGCGCGCACGCACTTTTGCTCAGATTCCTTCAAAACCAAAAAATGCACGTAATATACATAATTCTGAGTTTGCATGCAAAAAGTCAGCCTCCTACTACAATTCTAAGTTATGTTTAAACACTGTTTAAATTTTCCGGAGAGTAATACGTTTTGTGGCCCCCCCCCTTTCATCATTCTTAAAAGAATGTGTACACAATTTGCTGTCATAGTGTAACTAAAGTTAAAAACTATGCTTTCATAGTGTAATTAAAGTTAAAAACTAATTTTATATTTTGATTCCAGACAGAGATGTTTTTTTCAATTTAAGACCTCGGAACTATCCAAGTGAACAGGGTATTATATTTATCTCTTAGTTTTCTTTAAATCTTGTAATCCTATCAATTTTGTACATGACCATTTATTTTTCAGCAAATTTATTACTATTTAATTTTGTTATTCAGGGTTAGGTTAGGTTAAGATACTTTCTGGGCCGAGCGCTGCGGCTAGGATGGGCTAGGGGGTCGAGCGCTGCGGCCACGGGTTAGGTTAGTTAAGACACTTTCTGGNTTCTTAGATTAGTAGAAGGTAAATTCTAGTCATGTTCATACTTCTCACGTTAGTAGAAGATAAATTCTAGTCATGTTCATACTTATCACGTTAGTTTTTAAATATATATAATCTATATTTAAGTTTTGGGTTTTTGTAATTGTGGAAAGTTTTCCAATTTTTAGAGAAAATTCTTGCAACTCAAAAAAATTGGCAAATGCCAAAAAAAGGTTTGAAGTTTTTACGAAAAAAAGGTTATTTAGCTTGAAAAAAAATCAAAAACTTTTTTAATGTTTATTGTCTTCTAATCTTACTGTTCTAATCATTTTTTAGTTTTCGAAAAGAAATTTGTAACATAATCAAATATGGATAGGGTAAAAATAAAAATTATGAAGTTAATGATGATCAGTGACGAGATGTATCTCCTTAAACTATATTTTTCTAATTCGTACACCTTTGTAACCTGAAATTGTTAACCTGTTGTATTTTAAACTTTGAAAACTTGATAATTATGGATAAAATTAATTAGATTAGAAAATTAGAGTTTTGGGTGAATAATCACGGTTTCTATTAGATGAGTGTTGGAAGTGAGGTGGGTGTTATCTCTGGACAACTAGCCCAGGTTGTAGAACTGATCCTCAATCCTGCTGTGCCAGAACAACAGAGACAACAAGCGTTCCAGCAGATAGAGGAATTCAAGGTAGGAGAAGTTTTGAAGATTTTTTAGAGATTATTTGGTGGATTTGAGACTAACATAGCTAGATAAAAAAGCTAATAGATGAACAGATCTAGTAACATATGAACAGGTATAATGAACATATTAACACTGAACAGTCAACAGACATAAACAAACAAAACGGAACTAAGAAAACAAATAGATAAACAGACAGAACAGAATACAAATAGAAATACACAGAAATACAGAAATACTGTATGAACCAAGTTCAATAATGCGTAGATGAAGCAGGAACCGAGTTTAAACCAGGAAGATTATCTGAATTGTACTTAAAGAAGGAGCTGGAGAATATACTTCAGCCCCGCATACCATCTAGCGGGGTTCACATACTCTTTATATTCGGCAATGTTTTTATCAATTGGAATAAAATATACAATAATAATAGTATCTTTAGTTGTGCTAGTTGGCTAGTTATGCATTTAGGTACCTTCCCACCTACCAGACTTTTGTCCGGTATAATACACAGACCAATATTAAGAATTAATTGAATGTAAAACAACTGAAGTGTTTTTATTTCTTCAGGAAAAGTCTCCACTTGTCAGTCAATGTGGATTTTGTTTGTGTACTGTCACAAACTCTGAAGTGGTTCGACATTTTGGTCTCCAACTTCTCGAAGATATTGTTAAGGTAAAACTAAAAGGTTCTGTCAATTAAGAAGTATACTTTGCGTATATATTCAAACCAGTTCTCTCTGGGTGGAATTTGTAAACAAGAATAGATGCATCAGTGTTTGTCTAGTATCCGAGGAGGATGAAAGCATTTAATTTGATAATTTTGAAAATCCAAATAATAATTTCCTATGCCCAGAATAGTTCATTGAACTAGTTTGAGGTTTGTGGATAAAAAAAAATGATTCTCATCCTTTCTTATCATTCTCAATTTTTCCTTTTAAAAATAATGAAAATATAATTTTAATGACTGGTTTTGTTGAACCAAATTAATATCATTTTTTAAAGAATTAATTTTAAATCTCTTAAAATGTACACAAAATGCATGGGACCCTAACCAGGAGGTGGAAATGTGTGTCTATACCAAAAGAGTGTGTAAGTAATACCGAACCGAAGATATATACAGTACATAAGAATCTCGGTATTTGTACAGTCTAGGAGAGTACATTTGTTTATTGTTAATTTATTACTTAAAAATAAGTTTAATATACATGTAATATATTGCTTATATATTTAAGTCAATACTAAAAGTAAAATTTTCATGCAAAGAATATAATTTGATTAAAGTTTACAATAAATATAGTCGTTATTAAAGCTTAATTAAAATTGACGACATTGTTCTGCAATTTCCTTGACTGTAGTCATGTTGTGTGTCTGTACCAAAAGAGTGTGCGTGTGTAATAACAAACTCGTCTGCAAAGCAGTGCGACTGGCTTTCTCATTCCCTTCCCTTTAATCTTATTCCCTGACCCTAACTTAAAAACAAGATGGGTCATAGAGGAATGAATGATATTTTTCATTGTTAGTTCTAAAATAGTATGATAAGTAATTTTTTTGATTCTGAATTCACTTCTTCTACCAGGGACGATGGAACGAGATGTCTGGAGAAGAGAAGGTTTATATCAAGGAGAACCTAATCAAGGTAGAGTTCAGGGAGTAAAATATGACTTTCGGTACAGGGCGGTTAAAGATTAAAAAGCGGACACTAACTGGGCAAATTTTTCAACTTTTTACTCTGAAATTCCTTTATTTTCTCAAAACCCACGAATAAAACTTTTTAAAAAATGTGCTGTACTGTACTAGTGTACTGTACTGATGATAATCCTAGGTGGTAGAGGTTGGAACTAATTCAATACTTGAAGAAAAAAATCATCTGAAAGATCAACTGGCTAAAGTTGTTGTAGAAATAATTAAGGTAATATTTTTATTTCAGTTTATCAAATATTTTAAAACCTTTCTTGTTATATTCTTTTTTAATTTTAACATTATCTAACATTAACAATTGTCATCTATGTATTTAATGTTAAGTGGTTTTAAACCCGATTAATTTCACGTGATTAATTATCAGTTTGTTTTTATGAGCCACAATTTTGTAAACAAACCCTCAATCAGTCACCACCTGAAGACAGTTGTGTACCATAATATAAGTTTCTAAAAATATTCTTTTTTGCATGTCTTTTAATGTTAACTACTGTTCAGCGTGAATGGCCTCAACAATGGCCTAGTCTACTGGGAGAACTAGATGCATTATGTCGGATTGGTGAAACTCAAACAGAGTTAGTCATGTTCATACTTCTTAGATTAGTAGAAGGTAAATTCTAGTCATGTTCATACTTCTCACGTTAGTAGAAGATAAATTCTAGTCATGTTCATACTTCTCACGTTAGTAGAAGATAAATTCTAGTCATGTTCATACTTCTTAGATTAGTAGAAGATAAATTCTAGCCATACTTACTTACTTGGTTACTTGGAAGTTTATCCTCAGAGCTCCGGTAGGAACATAGACGAGGATGTCTTTAGGATAATCACAGAGTATTGATCAGTCTTCCTGCTTCGGCTCCACAGTGCTCTCCATACTCAAATACTCCTTGCATAGTTTAAAGTCTCCCAATGTCAATAGAGTCAAGCAGGGTCCGAAATATATTTAAAGTTCTTGCCTCTTTAACTTCTACTGGGAGTTTATTCCATTTAGGAACAACACGATTTGAGAAAAAGTTTTGCCTGACATCTGATCTTGATCTTTTTGATATCAGATTGTCGTGATATGAGGTATGTCTAGTTAACCTGGTGGCATCGACTCCAACCTTACTGAACCAAGTGTTGTGGTCTACTCTGTCTATTCCCTTCAAAATTTTGTACGTTTGGATCAGGTCTAGTTTGGTTCGTCTGTCCTTCAGTGACAGCAGACCTAGTTCGTCAAGCTTTTCCTCATAGGTCCTGCCATTTAAACCAGTGATCAGGTTAACCGCCCTGCGCTGCACTTTTTCTAATATTTCAATATCCTGTCCAGTCCAGGGTGACCACGCCGGGACCGCAAACTCTAAGTGACATCGGACAAATTGGGTATATAACCTCTAAAAAGTAGATCTGTCTCGGTAAAGAAATGTCCTGGTTATTTGACTTAGAACTGTAGATGCCCTCCTCGAAGCCTCTGCACATTGCAGCGAGGGTTTAAGGTCTTGGTTTACAACCACTCCTATGTCTCTTTATTTGTTACTGTCTGTAGTACCGTCCCTGCCATTATGTATTCATGTTCATACTTCTCACATTAGTAGAAGAAAAATTCTAGTCATGTTCATACTTCTTAGATTAGTAGAAGGTAATTCTAGTCATGTTCATACTTCTTAGATTAGTAGAAGGTAATTCTAGTCATGTTCATACTTCTTAGATTAGTTGAAGGTAATTCTAGTCATGTTCATACTTCTCACATTAGTAAAAGATAAATTCTAGTCATGTTCATACTTCTCACATTAGTAGAAGGTTAATTCTAGTCATGTTCATACTTCTCACATTAGTAGAAGATAAATTCTAGTCATGTTCATACTTCTCACGTAAGTAGAAGGTAAATTCTAGTCATGTTCATACTTCTCACGTTAGTAGAAGATAAATTCTAGTCATGTTCTTCCAATGCATTTATTTTTTTAAATTACATAATAATTTTTTTTTAAACCGGGATTAATAAGGTTTTGCACAAAATTTTTACCAATTTTGATTGCTTATGATTTTAGGTATAATAACATTAAATCTAAAAAATAAAATTCTGAATTATTTTTCAAACATTGAAAAAAATTCAGCAAAGCAATTTTTTTTAATTAAATGAAATTTTTATCAAAATTAATGGGGAAATTATTATTCGATTATTTTTCAACATTACAGATCTGACAAAAAATAGAGTGGAAATCTGCCAGCATTACTTGTTTTCGGAGGTCACGTACACGTGGCAATTTTCAGCTGATCAGCGAGTCTTTTAACCTAGCAAAGAGAAGAGGTTTTCAAGATAAAATTGTTCAAGAAATTATAAAGAAGTGTGTGCAGTCACTAAAAAAGGAAATTAGTGAAATTTAGAATTTTCCCATAAAAGTTTTAGTTTTTTTCTCATTTGGTTTCGTAAATCTTTTTTTCTTCTTCAATGTTTATAAAGTATTTTTGATTTTTTTGTTGTCAGATTTCAATGTGTCTTTACTTAAAATCCTAAGCAAACAAAAATTTTAAAATTTCTGTAAAAAACATCGCTTAAAGACGCAACTCTATAAAAAAATTGTTGTAAAAAAATATTAAACTACTATTTATTAGATGTTGCCATTCTGCAAACTTTGGAACAATCTCAGCGTAGGAAAGAAATCTACTCAGCTCTGACCACTAACATGGAGCAAATATTTAGGTGAATTCATCATAATACATAGATAGAGATAAACAGGTAAAAGTTACCAAAAGCATATGCTCTCCTTTCCCTGGTCAATACGATTAAAGCTAAAACCAAAAAACAAACAAAAAACTCTTATTCTACCAAGCGGAGGTGTGTACCGCATTCTGTCAGTGCTTTAAGCATCCCTTTTATATATCCCCTAGTATCCATGCTTTCCTGGCATACACACTGAATCCTCAAAATTCAGGCCAGTACTGAACTACTAGATCCCATATAGACCAGGGCAAGTGGAGGAGCTCAACCCTATCTTCATTGTATTTCAACCTACAGGTCGTTGTACTTTGACTGTAGGTTGATTGTTAATAATAACAGTATTTTTATTCAATCAATACTTTTCATCCAACTTAACCCCCCCCCCCCTCTATTAATAAGCCTTCAATTTTATAAAGTTAAATAAATTGTATAAAAAATGCATGCTGACAATTAAAAAAATTGTCTTTGTGGAATGTTTTATAAACAATAAGAAAAACACAATTTTTCAAGATTTCAACGTAAATCAAATTCTGATCTTTTTAGATTTTTGCTTGGTTTGCTTGAGAAGCATTATCAGGCTTATTTATCAGATAGTGCATCTCTACAGGGAGCTAAACATTGCAAGGTGAAAATTACAACTTGTTATTATTACACTTAATGATATATCTATGTTTGTTCAAGATTTTATCAATCTGAATCTGCCTTTAGAAGTTTCTTTTTATGTTGTATCGACTATACATTGGTTGAAAGTTGTAAAAAAATAAGTTCAAATTAAAAAAGTACTTTTCTTTTTTCTTGTAATAGATTTACTGTTAACCCTTTATGCATGATGAATTGATACTTCGTCTTTCACATAGGATCCTCAGCACTCCCTAAGCCTACCGATTTTATTTAATGTAGAGATTTTATTTTTACACACTTCAAGGTTTGCATGTCGATCCTGAACACGTTCAGTAGTCTGGTTGAGTGGGTCCCCATGCAGCACATCATGGCAAACAACAAATACCTCCTCAGCTGTCTCACGCATCTTCTGAAAGACGAGAGTCTGCAGATTTATGCCGCGGATTGTCTTCTAGGTCAGTTGATAATAAAAATGGCAGATAACCATTCAGCTGATTTTTAATAATAATCAAATAGGTTGTCAAGTACAATAGATGGCAACAGAAAAATCGACCAACTGCGCACAACGTCATATGTGTCAAATGAAAAAAGAAAGACCACATGTCCTCTAATTAGTTGGGTATGATTTCCAAGATTCGGTGAAGCTAAATGTCGTCTTTGTAGGAATACGTAAAAAATATTTACAACTCGAAATTAGATAGGTATTTTTACTGTCATTTCAGGTGGGTTAATTTTTATTCACTGTATATTTATGTAAACTAGATAGTCTGAGGGGGGGGGGGATTCCAGGCCCCAGCCCTCTAAGTAGCATAGAAGTAAATATTTCTAGGGTTATTAAAGGTTACTGTTCAATCTCTAAAGCCAGCTAATTTTTTTTAAAAATTTAGACTTCTAACTTTTTGAAACACTCATAATTTATACGAATTTTACAAAAAATCATTTGGATTACCTTGTTTTAAAAGTGACAAAGTTTTGGTGTGTTAAACAATGACTGAAGTATAAACATTATATCATCATACACAACAACAACAAAAACAATAATAAACATAAATTGGCCTTTTTTCAAATTTCGTATCATTTTATGACCTTGCTTGTTTACTAAAACATTTAGATGCCTTATTCTTTGGAATTTTACAAAAAGGTTGATATTGTAGATCTTGGTTCTTTTACATTTATTGATGGGATTGCAGAGGATAAGAGAAATTTCCTTGCAGGGGAGATTTCTGGAAGTTTCGAAAAAGTGCTCAAATTTGGTATAAAATCAGACTTATCAAAATGAAGAGCACACACTCTGCTATCTCTGATTTCATTAGTGTCGTCAATTTTCAAAGAATTCAGCCACAATTCCTGCTTCTTTTTATTCTTTGGGAATTTAAATCTGGATAACCCAGGGGGTGGACGGCATCCAGGCACAAAACAAGTTCTTCGCCTGCCCCCTAGAGAAAAAATATAATTAATGAAGACCAAAAATATCATTTAATTCATAATAATGTAATGTTGACTTAGTATGTTCATAGTATACCTTTAAAGTAACCCCCCCCCCTTGATGGATTTAAAATAAATTAAAAAAAATATGTCGTTTTTTATTACAACAAATCACACAGACATCCATATTGCAAAATTTAAATATAATATACATGTTATCTCACAAAACACTTTGCAGATCCAAAATTTTGGCTGCAACAGATAACTTACTTAAAATGTACGAAAATTTGTGAATTTTTGGTTATTTATGAACAAATGAATATATGTAAAAAATCAAAATTAGAAAAATCTGGGAAATCGATTTTTCGGCTCATGAACATTTAATCAAAATTGTTGCCTCAGTACCCAATACCCCTGCTTTAGACTTTTGTTTGGGACACCCTTTTGAAAAAATTTATATATTTCATATGTGTTCCCAAAAATAGTAAAATACGACATTTGAGAAAAAATTAAATACCCTTAGAAGACGACATTTCATTAGAAAATTACCGTTTCTTGTTGCCTGTATTTCCCCTGGATCTGGGGGTTTATCCTCGATTAGACCTTTCCAGAGAACTTCTCCAAAGATATCATTAAACATTTCTGAAATATGTTTTAACGTTATACTTTCGAATTACAATGTTAAAGGGTTATGTACAATATCAGTTTCAACCCCGTTATTTAGTCAATAAAACGTCAAATGAAAAAGTGTAAAAACAGAAATAAAGAACATATAAATTGCACTAATTTCACTAAAAGATAAGCACTTTAGTCTAAAAATATCACTTTTATTTATAGTTTTGTCAGACAGAAAATTTGAGTTGACACTTATGACGTTTAACCAGCTGTACTGAAAGTGTACGCATTCTGTGTTGCCGTCCATTGTACTTGACAACCTATTTGATAATAATTGAAATAAATGGTGGCTAACAATTCAGATGATTTTTAATATTTATTGTAATAAATGGCGGCTAACAATTTAGCTGATTTTTAATATTTATTGTAATAAATGGTGGCTAACAATTCAGCTGATTTTTAATATTAATTGTAATAAATAGCGGCTAACAATTCAGCTGATTTTTAATATTAATTGAAATAAATGGGGGCTGACAATTCAGCTATGATAAAAATGGCGGCAAACAATTCAGCTGATTTTTAATAATAATTGTAATAAATGGTGGCTAACAATTTAGCTGATTTTTAATAATCATTGTAAAAAATGGTGGCTAACAATTCAGCTGATTTATGATAATAATAGCGGCTAACATATGGTAACAATGCCCGGCCTGTCCACGTTAGTTTTGGCAGTTTTATCCTTATCTATTCGTAACTATTCGGGTTTTTTCTTCTACTGATTGATGCTTTAACATTTTTATAATGACTAATGAACAATCGAAGTAAATAAGAATAAAATGCCAGTATGTGGAGAATTTTTCATACGATTGACGAATACGAATTTAAAATTTTGATTTTAACTAAATTTGATTTTTCCAGGTATAGTGGGCTGGAAGGCGGGCAAGATGACCGATAGGGCCCAGATTCTCTGCCTGTTTGAGATGGATATGATGCGACCCTTATTTGCGGCAACCGAGGTTTACTACTCTTATTAGTCAACTCGCTTGGAACCCAGTTTTGTATGGAAACTTAACTTTCTTTAACTAGGATTTTTTTTTAAACCAAACTAAGAACACTTCTGTTGATATTGTATCTGTTTTTATTTTTAATTGGAAATCCTTTTAATTTAACAATTACATAGTTAAGCAGCTTCATTTTCATTTTTAATGAATTGAATGTATAATATATTTAGGCTGCAGAACAGCATGCACTTGAAGAGAACCACTACAATTTCATGAAGAAAATGGTTCAAATTCTAACAGGAAAGATACGAGTTTTCTTTTTTTTTTAGAAAAAAAAATAGTTTTTAGATAATAGAAACAGATGGCAGATTCATCGCAATATAAAAATGAATAATCTCGTGATCATAGTGCTTGGTGAGCAGTTGTGCGCCCTGTGGACGAAGGATTCGCCGCGTACAGTTCCCAATCTGGAGATTTACCTGAACGCTCTGATTGCGTTTACGCGGCATCCCAGCCAGACAATTAATTTGTTCGCAAACGAACTCTGGTTCAAATTCTTCAGGAAAAGTTTAGTCTGTTTGAAATTATTTTAAGTTGGTTTTAGCATTTTTATTGAATTTTAATCAAACCCCTTTTTGTAATACAAAGTTATCAACAACTTTTGCATTAAATAGTTGTCCTAACCCCCCTTGTGTATTTGATATTTTAATTTTAGTATTTTGTATGAAAAAAAAAATTTGTATTAAGTATTACTAAGAGATAAAAGTTTGAAAGTTGAATAACAGTAGCATTTTTTGGAATTAAAATTTTTCCCTTTTTTTTATATCACATGGCCGGGGGGTGGGGGGGGATATTTGTCTCTTATCAATGATAACTGACCAAACATAATTCCCATTAGGCATCCTGATATATCATTAAATCCTGTATTTCTCTCCTTTATGAATACTTGGATTCAAACAGCAGTCAAGAAAACAGTTAAGGTAGGAGGATTATGAAACAGCAGTCAAGAAAACAGTTAAGGTATGAGGATTATGAAACAGCAGTCAAGAAAACAGTTTAAGTAGGAGGATTATGAAACAGCAGTCAAGAAAACAGTTTAAGTAGGAGGATTATGAAACAGCAGTCAAGATAACAGTTAAGGTATGAGGATTATGAAACAGCAGTCAAGAAAACAGTTAAGGTAGGAGGATTATGAAACAGAAGTCAAGAAAACAGTTAAGGTAGGAGGATTAAGAAACAGCAGTCAAGAAAACAGATAAGGTAGGAGGATTATGAAACAGCAGTCAAGAAAACTCCTCCCAGAGAGAACTGTTTCAATATGTAAGCAGAGTATACGCAACTGCAAATAACTTTCCTTGCATTACAACCTTGGAATGGCAGAATTTGTTCTCTTTGTCGGAAGATTTTAAGTAAGCAGATTTTTTCCTACTTTGACATCTGCCGGTTTTTTAATTTCAAAATCGAACTTAGTCCGGAAAGAGGAAGCATTTCATAACATTTTATCAGTGAAGGGACTGAAAGTAAAAGCTCAAATTGCCCTCCATGCAAAGATGGCAATGTCCAAATATCAATTGAACCCTTGAAACCTTAATCTCATTAAAAAATTGGGAGAAAATGTCGTTTTCCTGTCTCCAAAAGTGCTTTTGGCAATTTTTCCGTTGCTTCTTACAAGCAATAAATTAAAAAGTAACTTTTGCAGAGAAACCGCCAAAAAACATTATCTAATTCCTTCTTAATGAGACAAAGCTCTTAAAGTACTTTTATTAATAGGGCACTGCCATTTTTGCATGGAAGACCAGATGACTAAGCTTTTGTTAAAATATTGTTAACGAAAAAACCTCTCTTTGGTATCAAATGAATCCAAAAGTTTTCTCTACAATACTGCACTTTCAGCTGAAATACGTTACATAGCCGGTCTCTTCTTTTAATGAGTGTTTTTCACGAAGGTAAGTTAATATAAAGAGCTCATACAAGGAAGGAAGGAAGGAAGGAAGGAAGGAAGGAAGGAAGGAAGGAAGGAAGGAGACGATTAATATGAATCTAAATATGTTAATTTTATACTAGGTTGGGTATCCAACCCAAGACAATCATCCCTCCTGCGCCTACTCCCTTCTCGACTTCGACGACGACGAAGAATTTTGGAATTTCTTTATCAAATATCGTCTTTGTATCGTAGAAATCGTCAAACACATCAGTTCGTCCAACCCCGCCACACCATTGGCTCTCCTAGACGAATGGTTAAGATTCTCTTTAACTACTCCAGCCCCCCTGGTAGATCTTGAAGCTATTTCAACCCTACTGGATGCTGTCTACTCTAAACTAACCCTGGAGCAGCTTAATCTAATCTATCCCCAGACTGCTGCTCTTATGCAGCTCTGTATTGAGTTCAAGTCCGAGGACTCGCAGGTTAGTTTAAAAAGTTTTTTTTAACTAAAACTGTTCCTGACATTTTTCTTTGTAACATCTTGGACTGAATGCTAATAACATCAAACAAGAACAAGAAATAAACCAAAGATAAGCATAATTACAAATAAATTTCACCAAAAATAAAAATAATGGCATTAAAAATCATTAAATTATTACATATCCCATGCATCGAAAATCTTCTCGCTTGCAAAACCACAAACCAAACAAATTAACATTTTTGGTTAAGTTGACAATGCTTTTCTTTGATCAGGTATTATCCGAGGTTCTATCCTGTATCTCTGCTATGTTTATCCTGGTTCAGAAGAACCCTGAGGCTCTGAGCCCTATCCTGGAAAAGATATTCTCAACCCTCTCACGACCTGTCACAACTCAATCTAAAGAAACAAGAACACTCAGGCAGATTCTTAAATCAAACTTAGACCTTATAAATTATTATTCATAATTTCAAAAATCTTTCACGATTATCATATCCAACTTCTAACCTTTAGAAACCCCCAGAGTTTAGGTAAGAAATGAAATTCTGATCCCGAAGAATGCCTCAAGCACTTAAGTATGATTTGATTTGATTTGATTTGATTTGATTTGATTTGATTTGATTTGATTTGATTTGATTTGATTTGATTTGATTTGATTTGATTTGATTTGATTTGATTTGATTTGATTTGATTTGATTTGATTTGATTTGATTTGATTTGATTTGATTTGTATCAAATAGTTTAACATTTAACATATATAGAAGACAATTTGGGAAAGTTAAGAGGTCTTACATGCTACAGGATTTGGCAAACCTGATAGAACATGAAATTACTTTTTATGTACTTGATGAAATTTAAGTTTTATAAGGTTTTATCAAAAAGTGGATTTTTTAGTGCAGTGGTCATACTTTTTTCTTTTCCCCCTCTACTTCAAGATGTACTTGGAAGAGAACCTACATTCTAAAATTTGTTTACAAAACCTTTAAAATAAGATTTAACCATCCTCTTTAACCTGCAGAAGACATTGCTGTGCCCTGATGATCCGTCTAAGTTTAAAGTTCCCGGAAGTTCTTCTCACAGCGTTCACATTTCTAAATGTTGAAATCAACAGATTGTTTCAGCAAGGGCTGCTTACAAGGTGAGCAAGAGGAATTTATTTTAATAACATTTTAAAATATAAATGTTGAAATCAACAGATTGTTTAAGCAAGGGCTGCTTACAAGGTGAGCAAGAGGAATTTATTTTAATAACATTTTAAAATATAAATGTTGAAATCATTGTTTTAGCACGGACTGCTTACAAGTTAAGAAAGAGAACTTTAAAGTTCTTAAATTCTGTAATATTGACGATTTTTCTTAAAATTCAGTTTTTGAAACTCAAATTCCCTGGCCATGGTCTGTTTCTATTGGCAAGAATGATACTTTGTTCAAATGTAAATTTAAAAAAATAGTTTTCTAGCAAAATTGATAAAAGAAGAGAAGCTTATTACTTTGACATGAATACTGAATAGCATTCTGTACATTTTTCTTAACAAATGATAAGCGTAATTGACAAATGAAAAAAAAAATCCCTTTTATTTGTCAATGGCATAAACTAAACCGTAGTATTCATGAAAGTCTCTAGAAGAAAATCTCTTCATCTCTTCATTTTAATTTTTAAGTTCTCTCGTAAAAAAAACTTCATCATAACGTTATTCCTGTTAAAGGATATCAAATATCAACACTTGTATCTTAAATAGAATTTTAATTTCTGTAATTTTTTGGATCTTCTGTTCTGTAGACATTCATTAGTCGCTTTTTATGAAAGCTGTATCAATTATTCCCTTGCTTGCAATCTGAAGCAATACTATTTTAGAATGGAGTATGTTACCCTGCTGGAGGCCTGTGTCATAATTAGCAACAAAATAGAAAACTACGATAGACAAGTGGAATTCATTAGGGTAAAAAAATCATAAATAATTTTTATATCAATATCTTAATTATGGATGAATGGATTGGTGGATTTAAGTACAAGGTAAATGATGATGTTGATAACGCCCATGTTAACTAATTTGTTTAACAGTTATTGTCAAATAGTAAACCAAAAGTAATTCGATTTATTGATTGATGGAAATATTAAGATAATGCTGATATACTGATCCATTGATCAATTACTTGATTTTTATATGTCCTTGAGTGTATTAGATTTTATTTGTCAACAGCTGATGATTGATGGATTTTTTTATCCAATGAATATTTTTTATTTATTTCTTTTGATTGATTTATATTATTGCATTAGTGTATTTTAACCTGTTATAGATTGGTGGACTGATTGATTGATTGATTGATTGATGGATTGATGAAATATTAAGATATTGTTGATATTTTTACTAAAGGGTATTTTATTTTATTGATCCATTGATCAACTACTTGATATATTTCTTCTGATTGATTTATATTACTAAAAGAGTGTATTTTAACCTGTTAAAGATTGGTGGACTGATTGGTTGCTTGATTGATGGATTGATTGATGAATTGATTGATGGATTGATTGATGGATTGATTGATGGATTGATGAAATATTTAGATATTGTTGATATACTTCCTAACGTGTATTTTATTTTATTGATCCATTGATCAACTATTTGATTTATTTCTTTTAATTGATTTATATTATTACAAGAGTGTATTTGAACCTGATCTTGAACTCCTATTGATTGATTGATTAATTGATTGGTTGGTTGGTTGGTTGGTTGGTTGGTTGGTTGGTTGGTTGGTTGGTTGGTTGGTTGGTTGGTTGATTGATTGATTGATTGATTGATTGATTTATTGATTTATTTATTTATTTATTTATGTTTTGATATATTTGCTAGAGTGTATTCGAACCAGTTGTTGAACAGTTAAAGACCCTGGAACCTCATTACAGGTTTGTTATCAATTTTTTTTTAAATGGATAGGTAAAAATGTTTTCATTGCGATAATTTTTTTTTCATTACAAGTATTTTCTGAACTGGGGAGGACGGGGGAGGGGATTGGGGGTGTTTATTTTCATGTGAAATTATTGTCCGTGTAAAATGAAATTATGTTTGTTTTCTTTCAATTGGAGAAAATAAATGAATTTGTGGGTTAAGTGTTAAAAAGTAAAGAGGGGGAATGGTTTAGAATGAAACTTAATAACTCTAGGTTTTACCTACGGCTTAGCTGTTCACAGTTGTAAAGTCGTAAAGCTATAAAAAAAATTGAATGAAAAAATTACTTTTAATTGAATTTATTTAAAATTATTTTAGCTCACCTGAGAGATTACTGCAGTACATCGGGCTGGACAAAGAACCTGTCCCCTACCAGGACAAAATTAACGGACACAGCACAGACCCGGTAAGTCTGTTAGAGGTTATACAGTTCACAGCTGTACACTTCTGGTTTGTTAATCAATACACAGTTGTACTCTTGTACGCAGTACAGACTGTGTATGTTTGTTGGAGGTTACACAGTACACAGCGTACACTTGTACACAGTGCATAACCTTTAGTTGGGTTAGAGGTTACTCAGTACACAGTTGTACATTTGTAGACAGTACAGAACCGGTAGGCTGGTTTACAGTACACAGTGTACACTTGAAAACAGTACAGACCCGGTAGGTTGGTTTGAGGTTTTAAAGTAAAAAGTTGTACACTTGTAATCAGTACAGACCCCGTAGGTTGGTTAGAGGGGACTCAATACACAGTTGTACATTACACTTTACACAGAACAGGAGAGCCCAAAACTTAAGACAGGGTATTGTTATCAAAACCAGTTTTAGAACCCGGGTTTCACGAACAGGGTAAGGGGTTAGGCAGTTTTGTGGATATCAATATTTTTGGTATGAAATATTATTTTATTTTATTTCTTCATATTCTCCATTTTTTTACAAATCTCTTGAATCAAAATCTTCACAAATGCTAAGAACCCAAAAAAGAAACTCGTTATTTTCGTTCAATGATACTCTTATAAATTTCGGGCTCAGTCCTATTAGGACACTTTAAGTTGTTTACATAAAAAATCTAATTTTATTCATACTGATGATTGCCTAAAAGCATGAAACAATTTGTTTATGAATAAAATGTTATAAGAAGATTGTTGCGTTTCAACTAATATAATTTTATTCATCAATATATACTATGTAAAGTATATACTTTGCTTGTCTGTCCGTTTGTGTCCATTAAACGTCAACCCAAGGAAGGTTAAATAGAAAATCAAAAGGGGATGGTGGAGTTGGCACATTTGATGTAGGGGGGGGGGGGCCCGCCTTCATTTTTGGTTCAAATCTTCCAATTTTTTGGGTGCACGCCTAACTAGGGTTCGAAATTCCTATAATAAAATAAAATTGAACTATAATGACCTCTAATGACCTCTAATGACCTCTAATGACCTCCACAAATAGAAAATATTTCAACTATGGCTTAATGCATATCAAACGAAAGCTGGGAACCCAGGAAATCCAGTAGCAGCAACAAATCCAGTGTTTGACCTTCTAATGACCTCTAACGACCTCTAATGACCTAAATGACCTCCAAAAATGAAAATGTTTTAACTATGGCTTTATGCATATCAAACGAAAGCTAGGAACCCAGGGAATACAGTAGCAGCAACAAATCCAGTGTTTGACCTTCTAATGACCTCTTACGACCTCTAATGACCTAAATGACCTCCAAAAATGAAAATGTTTTAACTATGGCTTTATGCATATCAAACGAAAGCTAGGAACCCAGGGAATACAGTAATAGCAGCATTTAATTCAGTGTTTGACCATCTAAGCAATTGTTAAAATTTTTCATTTTTTGGAGGTCATTTAGGTCATTCGAGGTCATTATTAGGTCAAACACTGTATTTGTTGCTACTGCTGTATTCCCTGGATTCCTATCTTTCGTTTGATATGCATAAAGCCATAGTTAAAACATTTTCATTTTTGGAGGCCATTTAGGTCATTAGAGGTTGTTAGAGGTCATTAGAAGGTCAAACACTGGATTTGTTGCTACTGCTGTATTCCCTGGATTCCTATCTTTCGTTTGATATGCATAAAGCCATAGTTAAAACATTTTCATTTTTGGAGGCCATTTAGGTCATTAGAGGTTGTTAGAGGTCATTAGAAGGTCAAACACTGGATTTGTTGCTACTACTGTATTCCCTGGGTTTCTAGCTTTCGTTTGATATGCATAAAAGCCATGGTTGAAATATATTCTATTTGTGGAGGTCATTAGAGGTTGAAATAGAAGATGGGCTCGACGCGCCCTAAAAGCCTGTTATTTATATAAAAGGGCAGATGCTAATATTCTTGTTAAATTATTTATTTATTATTATTTTATTATGAATTAAATATTTGTTTAGTATTATGATAACCGGTGCTCACTGTCTACAAACATGAACTTTATGTTGGCTGTGAGTAGGAGAGTTGAGCCCCCCACCAACCCAACCATCCTGGCAAACGGGGGGTTCCAGGTTCATGTTCAGGGGAAACTTATCACGAGGTACGTTTAGATTATTAATAGTTCTACAACATTTTGACTACCTGGATCTAAGGCGCAAAATATCAACAAAAAATGTGTTTTTTGTTTTGTTTTTTAATTTGATATCTCCAAACTCCAATGTGAGGTGCTGACTAATCAAATTCCTTTCACTTCTCAATTGTCAACCAAGTTCTGGTAAGAAAAATAAAAGTTTAAAAAAAAAAAAAAAAAAATGTCAATGAACTTTTGCATCAAAATAGAATTTATCCTTTACAGCAGGGTGTGGCAATTGAATTTAAGCACCAAGTAACAAAACTGACAAACAGTCCAAATTCATTAAAAGATATTGGAATAGCATTACTTTAACGGCCCCTGTACAGACAGCAATGACAATCTTAGATTATTAATTGTAAAACAGTAAGATTACTGTCAGACTCAAGCTATAATCTAGTTAGTGCAATGAGCGTGAAACACAATTTTTCTTATTCACTCATTTTACTTAAAAGTTGATTTTCAAACTACTGGTTAAATTATTTGCTATTTAACCAGATCAATTACACAAGTTGCTTAATTGTCGTCTTCCTTTTCCATAGTTTTATGGGTCCCACTGTAATCTCCAGGAACCCGGCTGGAAGCCTGGTGTGCTCTGTTCTGGAGAACATCTTGATCCTGGGGAACATGAACCAGATGTTTAATAATATTATATCCAGGAACCCGGCTGGAAGTGTGGTAGCTCTGTTCTGAATAATATCTTGATCCTGGAGAACATGAACCAGATGCTTATTAATATTATATCCAGGAACCCGGCTGGAAGTCTGGTGTGCTCTGTTCTGTATAATATCTTGATCATGGGGAACATGAACCAGATGATTAATAATATTATATCCAGGAACCCGGCTGGAAGCCTGGTGTGCTCTGTACTGAATAATATCTTGATCCTGGAGAACTCTATGAACCGGATGTTTTATATATTATATCCAGGAACCCGGCTGGAAGCCTGGTGTGCTCTGTACTGAATAATATCTTGATCCTGGAGAACTCGATGAACCAGATGTTTTATATATTATATCCAGGAACCCGGCTGGAAGCCTGGTGTGCTCTGTACTGAATAATATCTTGATCCTGGAGAACTCTATGAACCAGATGTTTTATATATTATATCCAGGAACCCGGCTGGAAGCCTGGTGTGCTCTGTACTGAATAATATCTTGATCCTGGGGAAATCTATGAACCAGATGTTTGACCCTGTGATGAAGAGTAAGCTGAGTCCTGGGTTTAGTAAAGTGTTTGATCTCCTGGAAGTTGATAAAAATAATATTCTTGGACTCCCTGGTAGCAGGTATACCCCCTTCTCTCATTAAAGGGACTGTAAGCTTAATTTTCGAGTCAGAAAAACGAAAGTTTCCTTCACATTGTTGATCAGATCAAGGTTTTAAGGGTACCATTGTAAATCGGGCATTGTCAACTTTGCATGGAGGGTCACTTGAAATTACGCTTACAGTCCCTTTAAAGCGATTGTTGGCATAAGTGACCCTCTACATATATTTATATAATGTCTGAATCAGAAAGGTACCCTTTTAACCCTTTATCTGAGACTAAATAACGATGAGAATGATATCGTCGTTTTTCTATTCGGAAAACAATTTCTTCCATAATCTCTGCTAAATGAATCCACAGGTCACTTTTGCTGAGATACTAGGATATCTTGAGGCTTTATGAATACCGTTTAAACAGATATGCCTGTAATCGATCTAGCTCCCGAGATTACTCTAGTTTAAACAGATATGCCGCTCTACAAAAAGATGTTCTTTGTTAACTTGAAATTACGTCTTCACCAAAAGCTGGAACTAAATTCATTATAAGTCATTAAATATATAAAGTATTTTCTCTTATTGAAACTTTCGCCTAAAAATTTATGAAGCACTTTCTCCAATTACATTTTTTCCACGATTTTGCTAAATAAATCTATTTTTACGTTAATTATTGGTATTCGTTTAGTATTTGAAAATTTGGCATTTACAAGAAATTCTGCGACGACCCTGGAAGCTATGTAATCTTAATCATTATAATTGGTAGATCTGCTAAGAGTGAACTAACCTACCAGATCAAGGTTCCTGAACCTGTAGTCAAGATGCAGAACTTTATCACAGAGCTGTTCGAGTCCTGTCAACATTTACTCTCTCATTTATGCACAAATATAGGTCAGATCTATCTATCTATCTATCTTGTCAACATTTACTCTCATTTATGCACAAATATAGGTCAGATCTATCTATCTATCTATCTATCTTTCTTGTCAACATTTACTCTCTCATATATGCACAAATATAGGTCAGATCTATCTATCTATCTTGTCAATATTTACTCACTCATTTATGCACAAGTATAGGTCAGATCTATCTCTCTATACATGCTGTCTAAATAATTGTATATCTACATATCTATCTTCCTAAACATCATCAAGAACTTAATTTCCTTGTTCTCAATTCTCTTATCTTCAATATAATGTATGTTTTTTATTAGCTTATGTAAGTCTCCTTATTGAGTTAATTGTTTAGGGTATGAATTCTACCATCAACCAAGCCTTGCTGAAGGTAATACATATTAAAATATGTGTGTTAGTTTGTTATTTCCGTTAGGAGAATGTATTTCAGCAGAGGCGCAACTAGGGGGTGGGGGCGTCCTTCCCTAGCAACCTGTGTATTTTTGTTGTTTACTCACTTTCCTTGCTTTATTACTTCTTTACTTCGCTATGATCTTTTAAATAAAGAAATATTTCAAATAATATATCTTACTTAAAGGGACTGCTGGCGTAATTTCAAGTGAATCTTAATTTATAAAGTGGTATGTCGTATACACAACGGTACCCTTTAAACTTGTGTTTTATATTCACTTCTAAAAGAGATGTAAAATGTGTATCATCACATGACTTGTTAATGCAGATTTAACAATCATGTTAAAACTTTCTACGGGGCAAATGAAGGCCCTCTAACCAGCGAGAGAACACGTCTAGTTCCAAAACACGCCTTCAGATGAGTCTGTTATTCAGGGTAAACACACAAAAATCAATGTCAGGATCTCCAGGATTGTAAACTTCAATTGTAGGTTCTCCTTAAAAGTGACATTCGAATTATACTGCAGACTGCAGAGTCAATGAAGGAACTTATCAGAATTGTGAATCGAATTTACCCCTCAAGAAATCGAGAGTCGCTTGAAATTGCGTTTCAGTTCCTTTGGATACTTTGTTGGGTAAGTGTGTAGTTAGTAACGGCAAGGAAACCGACCAGTAGAGAATCCACATCAACCACGTTTTGTCTCTAGGTTTATGTATGACGGTTCTATTGCACCTGGAGGGATTACCAGATTTCCGTCTGCGCGCTATTAACCGTATGTTCCTCAAGAGCTTTATCAACAAGTGCCCTGTAGAGTGTTTTGATGCTGTTTTGATACCAATGCTGAAACAGGTCAGTTTTTTATTTAACTATATGCTTTGTAACATCATAAAAATGCACACATGGTCGTGTAAATGTCGTCTTCCTATTACAAACTATATTTTTATTATTTGAACGACAAAGGGTTTCTTGTATGCATTTTCTGTGAAAAATGTTTGAGGCTTAATTCGTATCAAAATCAAAAACTTATTTTTGATAATTTCATATAGCTCATTGTTTTAAGTATGACATTCTTTTTTGTTTTCACTTGTATGAATAGGCTAACAATTGGTTTTTATTTAAAATTACTTCAGAATAAGTTACTTATTAAAATGATTTGATTTTTAATTGAAAAAAGAAAATGTATCGAAATTTATTTAAGGTGGTTCCTGTTATGATGAATAGGCTTCAAGAGCGTTGGTGTTACTTAAAGTAGGTTGTTTTTAAAATATAGATTTTTGAGATTAGTAAGAAATCTACAATTTTTATTTAGAAAAATACGCGAAAACCCGTCGTTTGACGAGGACAACACGGACAGCCAGGAGGTCTTAGACAACGTGATCATCAGGGTGCTCGCCAGAGAGTACTTAGAAACTATCAAGGTGGGTTTCCTAATTTGAACGTGCCTTTCTTGTTCACTGCAGTACTCTTTTTATTGAAGGGAAAATATCAGCGTCTGTCTTTGTTCAAAAGGGTTTTATTGTGAAAATTTCTTCCATTGTTTCTGGGGCTGAACCAGACTCTTTAATGAGCAATCAGTTGAATTTACGTCTACAATCCTCACAGTCTTTTTAAGATTGTTAAATTGTATTGAAGCAAGTAGCAAAATCTAGAAATAACAGTTGGTGGATCTTCTTAAGAGCTTGCGCAAGTCAAAATGTCCCACTCAATTCTTACACTGAAGTTTGGATGCGTTGACATGAAGAACGCTATGATTGGAACAGAATCAATCAAAACTGAAAAATGAATTTTATAGAAATGTGTATTGAACAAAATATTCAGGCAATGCTAACTAGCGGGGGTGGGTTGGATTCACCAAAGGAAGATACAAACACTGCAACTCTTAGGTATAGATATTCTCATCTCTACACTTGACTAAAGTATTTGACCTTTTTTCCTTGATCTTTATATGGACTGTTACGCTTGACCTTGACCTGTTTATTGTTTATTTAACCTTATCCTTTCCGTTTATTCTTCCCCATTCCCAATCCTTACACTTTCTTTATTCTTTAACTTTATCCTTGACTCTTATCCTTAACCTTTATTCTTGATCTTTATCTTTGACCTTTATCCTTAACTTTATCTTTAACCTGTACCCTTGACCTTTATCTTTGACCTTTATCCTTGACCTTTATCACTAACTTTCATTCGTGGCCTTTATCCTTGACCTTTATATTTGATCCTTATCATTGATCTTAATCCTTGATCTTTATATTTTTAACCTTTATCAGTGAGTGTTCTTTATCACGTAACTTTTATTCTTGGCCTTTATCCTTGATTTTTACCCTTGACCTTTATCTTTCACCTTTATCTTTGACCTTTACCCTTGACCTCTATCCTTGACTTTTACCCTTGACCTTTACCCTTGACCTTTATCCTTGACCTTTATCCTTGACCTTTATCCTTAACCTTTATCCTTAACCTTTATCCTTAACCTTTATCTGTGACCATAATCTTTAACCTAAAATCCTTGAACTTTTCCCCCTGTTAGTCTAAGTCCCCTGGGTGAACGTGTTCTGATTGACCCAGAACTCCGGAATGATGTGATGCTGACCTGCCTACAGGGTCTGCGTTGGCCAGATAGTCCCTCCGGATGCAAAGCCGCAGCGCTCACGGAACTCATCCTTCCGGTGTAAGTTTATTTTTTGATTCAAAAAGTCTTAAACAACAGACAAACAAACAAAATCAAAAATGTGATGTACAACACTTGTTTTGAAATAAGAATAAAAAATTATAACCATAAATTGAAATTCATATTTTTCTAGGCTCGTTAGGAACAATGCTTTTGGCCCAGAGGGAGCTAGTTCTATTATGTTTGAGGTAGGATTTTCATTTTTCTCTAAATAGAAAAATAGTTTCAAATAAACTGGGGAGCGAGATATTAACGGTTTACTAATAAAATAAACTGATTTGAGCCTGCTAGTAGAAGGCTCTTGAAAGTCTGATCCGATTTATTTGGAAGAAGGTCTTCCGAATCTTATAAAAAAATCTAACCAATAAAAACTAAGATGCCTGAATAAAGCTTTCTGATTAGTCTAAATCTAACCAATATCTTTATAAATATAGAGAATAAAGCCCTTTGCCTAGACAAAATCTAACCAATCTAAATAAAGCCTTCTGGTTGGTCTTTATCTAACCATTTTAAATATAACCATCTATTTGGCTAATCTCTGATTGGCGTAGATCTAACCAATATAATAAAGCTCTCTGATTTGTCTAAATCTTAACAAAATAATCTATATATATAAAGATGTAATCTCTGTCTCTCTGATTGATTGTTCTGGAACTTTGGAACCCCTGAACCGATTTGCCTCAAATTTTGATTGGAGAACTCGGTAGAGCCATGGGAATGTTCTTGGGTTGGGTTTGAGATTCTAAGTTGAGTGAATCATTGTTTACGACCAAGTGCGGTTAAACGGCGGTAGTAACGATGAGCAATGCTGGGTTCGCATGCTTGTAAAAAATAAAGCCCTCTGATTGGTCTAAATCTAACCAATATAATTAAAGTCCTCTGATTGGTCTAAATAAATAAAGCCCTCCGATTGAATCGTCTATATCTAACCAATATAATAAAACCCTCTGATTGGTCTATATCTAACCAATATAATAAAGCCCTCTGATTGGTCTATATCTAATAAATATAAATAAAGCCCTCTGATTGGTCTATAAATAACCAATATAATAAAGCCCTTTGATTGGTCTACATCTAACAAATATAAATAAAACCCTCTGATCAGTCTAAATTTAGCTAATTTAAATAAAGCCCTCTGATTCGTCTAAATATTATCAATATAAATAAAGTCCTCTGATTGGTCTAAATCTAACCAATATAAATAAAGCCCTCCGATTGGTCTAAATCTAACCAATATAAATAAAGTCCTCTGATTGGTCTAAATCTAACCAATATAAATAAAGCCCTCCGATTGGTCTATATCTAACCAATGGTTTGCTAGGTATTGACTGGGTTCCAAGAGATGGGTATGCACGAAGCAAACAATATTGCTCTAACTCACCTTGCTCTACTCTCATACGAGACATTAAGACCTAGTTTCCCATCTGTGCTCTCAACCCCTTGTCCCTTTTTTGTAAGGTTATTTTTACTCCCCCTTCCCCCTCTTCTTGTAGGGTTATTTTTACTCCCCAACGACAGTTCCTTGAATTATTTGTTTCCTAGGTGCCTGGTTGTATCCAGGAGGACTTGCTGAAGTTCGACGCCAAGATCCTAAACAACAACGGTGGGACCGGGTGGGGGGAGAAGGCGAAGAAAGACATGTTTAAGAAGCTGATCGCCAAACTGATCGGGAAGGATGTGGCGAAACTATTTAAGAAAGAAATTGTGATTAAGAATCTCCCATCGCTTGTACCCACGAAGGTGACACTTTGATTTTTGAAATTTTAAATAATTAATTATTGACTCTTGATAGTTTTATACCGTTTGTTAATTTAAAAAAAAATTTCTTCGTATATGCGAACACATCTTTTTTCAAGATAAGTCAAAATGCATACAATTTTTCCAACGTAAGGCTTTGAACACTTTTATTGAGTCATCTGAAACGAAAGAAAGTTGCTAAAATAATAATTATCTAAATGTTTAGATAAAAGCCCGAACTCTGACCCTGGATGAACAAGTTGATAGAACAGGAGAGGATACAGGACTCTGCAACTTGTTCAACGGAAACTGAAAATAAACTGGAGAAAGAAAATAGAAAATAGAATCTTTAATGTAGGGGATGAAACAACCTATCGTGAATGTAAAATGAATTAATGTTTTTATAATTTCTTTATTTTTTCATTTCTGTGTTCAAATTTGAATCGGAAAAAAAGTTTTCAAATTTCTGTTAAAAATCTGGCATTATTATTATTATTAATTTTTAATATCCTTCACGCCCCAACTTGTGATAAATAATGTAATTTTTCATCAATTAAAAATACATCTGTGATTTTGTTTTGGAAACTTCGCAAACTCGTAAAGAAAACGCGCAACTTTTATATTTTTTTTTAATTCTCAATCAGTCCATGATGCATTTGATTGTTGTAGAGATAAAATGATTATGCGTGCCGCTAGGTGTCTCCCTAGAGTGGTTACTTCCGGTTCCCGGACTTGGGTTTCCGGTTCTAGGATTGTTCTTCCCTGCCCTGGGCAGAATTCGCACAAAATTCTTAGAGTTTCGCAACATATAACATTTAACCGGTAGGTGAAGAATCAATGTGAAGGCCCATTCTCTTTTTTATAGTATTTTATCACGTGTATTCTTACATCACCCTCCAGGCAAAGATGGCAACTCCTGATTTACAACGGTACCCTTAAAAAAAGGTGAAAAATACCGGAAATTTTTTATCTCAATAAGTGTTTAAATTGAAACTTTCTTCACTAATGAAAATAAAATAGTTAAAAAATCAAAATATGGATTTCCAATTCATATTTGATCAAACACCGCTTTTAAGGGTACTGACGTAAATCAGGCATTGCCATCTTTGCATGGAGGATTACTTGAATTTACGCTTACAGTCTTTTTAAGATATAAAACTGACTTTTTAAATTAAGCTTTTTACTGTCCTATAGTTTTGCATGTATTTTTTAACTCGTGCTTTAGAAATGTAAGGAAAACATACGCAAATCAGTCCGCAAAACACATTATTCCAAATGTTTAAAAAGAAAATTTTACATTTTTGTTGTTCAGATTTTATAGCGCTGACCCAGCTGTTAAAGGAGAAGCTGTTCAGCATGAATTTCAGGTCTACACATTTTTAAAGTTTGATTCTTAGAATAAATATATTTTGTTATTTATATTTCGCTTTCTTTTCTTTAAAGGACTGTCGTTTAAAAAAAGAGGTATGGGGTCATGTCCGATTTACAATCTTATTGGTAAAAAATGTCGATTTTCTTACTTAAAAAGTGTTTAATTCTGATAACTTCTACATTTTTTCTGTAGCTGAAATGCGCAAGTCACTTTTGTAGAAAAACCACAATTGAAAATAACCAGTTTTTAAAATATATGAACATTAATATCTATTTTAAACATAATCAGAAAGCTTTTAAGGGTTTTGTTGTTATTCGAACTTGCCAGTCTGCAAATACCGGGTCTTTTGAAATTAAAAGTTTTGATAAATGTTTAGGCGGAGACCCGTATGTTGTTGGATATTGTTGCTAAATCCCTTTACTCGGAAAAAGAGGTAAAAATATAGATTTCAAAGTTTCAAATTCTTATTCACCGAATTTGTTTAAATAGTTTAATCGCAGATTTTATCTGTTGGGACCCCAATAAAAAAAAAATTTGAATGTATTTTTACAAACTCAAATCCAAACTTTTTTAACCCCCCCTGTGTCGTAAAAAAACTAGTTGTAGAAAATACATATTCGTGATACATATATTATATGGAATTTTGGCGCGATTTTGATCAGAAAATAGTAATTGACAATTAAAGTTTAAATTTTTCAGGTTTTTATTCGAGAATTGATTTCCAATGCTTCCGATGCTATTGAGAAGTTTAGATATCTTAATATGACCGGGGAGACCTTAGAGCAGGGAAGGGGATACTCATTAAATAGTCTTACGGTCAAAGGGTCATACAACCGGGCTAAAGTGTGTCTAATCTGTTCAGTAATTTCTCTGGGTCAAATTTATTTATTTAGTAATTCAATAGTTATTTTATCTTTTTTTAACGTCTTCAGCAGTGGAAACACCAATAATTGTTTTTTTGGTGGAATGTTGGACTTGGGTGGTAGGTTGCTTGGTATAGACTGGTAGGTTGGTGACTTGAAATATGATTTGATTGGGTTTGGTTTGGTTTGGTTTGGTTTTGATTTTGATTTTGATTTTGATTTTGATTTTGATTTTGATTTTGATTTTGATTTTGATTTTGATTTTGATTTTGATTTTGATTTTGATTTTGATTTAAGTGATTATTTAATTACAGATTAATTAATTGATTTTTAATGGGGATTGATTAATTGATTGAGTATTCCCCTGTGCATTAGGCTGACCGCGCAACAATGATAAATATAACAACAGATAAAGCATACAAGACCTTGGTCATCCAGGATAATGGAATAGGAATGACAAAGGTAATTAAGATAAAGCATACAAGACCTTGGTCATACAGTATAATGGAATAGGAATGACAAAGGTAATTAAGATAAAGCATACAAGACCTTGGTCATACAGTATAATGGAATAGGAATTACAAAGGTAATTAAGATAAAGCATACAAGACCTTGGTCATACAGTATAATGGAATAGGAATGACAAAGGAAATTTAGATGAAGCATACAAGACCCTGGTCATCCAGGATAATGGAATAGGAATGACAAAGGTAATTAAGATAAAGCATACAAGACCTTGGTCATACAGTATAATGGAATAGGAATGACAAAGGAAATTTAGATGAAGCATACAAGACCCTGGTCATCCAGGATATTGGAATAGGAATGACAAAGGTAATTAAAATAAAGCATACAAGACCTTCGGTCATCCAGGATAATGGAATAGGAATGACAGAGGTAATTAAGATGAAGCATACTAGACCTTAGTCATCCAGGATAATGGAATAGGAATGACAAAGGTAATTAAGATAAAGCATACAAGACCTTTGGTCATCCAGGATAATGGAATAGGAATGACAAAGGTAATTAAATAACGCATACAAGATCTTAGTCATCCAGGATAATGGAATAGGAATGACAGAGGTAATTAAGATGAAGCATACAAGACCTTAGTCATCCAGGATAATGGAATAGGAATGACAAAGGTAATTAAGATAAAGCATACAAGACCTTGGTCATCCAGGATAATGGAATAGGAATGACAAAGGTAATTATGATAAAGCATACAAGATCTTGGTCATCCAGGATAATGGAATAGGAATGACAGAGGTAATTAATTTTTATAGAATACAGTTCTCATTATGAAGGTTGAAGAAGGCACTCTTTGACTCAATTATGTGTTTTAAAAGGAAATATTCTGAATATCTTTATTTCTTGGGAAGCAAAACTATCTCGTTCTTATCTTTCAAATAATGATCAAAATCTTTAGGGAAAATGTGGAAGCTTAAAAGCGTCTAATGCGTCGTTTTTGTTATTCGTCTAGATAGATTTACAAATTAGATGTTGAAAAGAAACGACGCTATGCTTAAAAGTTATAATGAAATTCAGTGATATCAATAATGAAATTAGATTGCATACGACTCCTCTGTCAAAAATTTCTTTTTTAATTCATTAAATCTATAATGAAACATAAAAAACGATTTCCGTTACTCTGAATTATTAAAAAAAATTGAATTATTTAAAATATTTCATTATTATTTTAGGAAGAATTAATCTCTAACCTGGGGACTATTGCTAGAAGCGGATCTAAAGCGTTTATGAAGACTGTCAGTGATTCAGGAAAGGATATTAATCACTAGCTCGGGAACCCAGCTTTGCCTGTATTTTTTCCTATAAAAGTCAACCCACTCTACTGAGCTAAGAACTGTTGTTAACCTTGGAGCGCTTGATCTCAATATTCAATGTGGACATTTTTGGATTTAAGGATAAATGCTTGATTTCTCCTTATCTCTGACGGGATACTGAAAATAAATTAAATTAATCCCTAGGTCTGCTATTAGATACAGATCAATCATTAGTATTATCAGTATCGAAAAGAAAAAAAAAACATTTTAATTGTATTTTTAATCGAATTTCTTTTAACGTGATAACTTTGCAAAAAGCAAGTTAATTAAATCGGAAAAAAATGAAAATAGTTTAATGTTTATAATCCTTGGATTGCAGGGAAGGTGGCTGCTAAGGATATAATTGGACAGTTTGGTGTCGGATTCTACTCAGCTTTCATGGTTGCAACCAAGATTGAAGTTTATAGTAAATCCTCTACTCCGGGTAGTACTGGCGTTCTATGGACATCAGATGGAAGTGGAACTTACTCTATTCAGGTACAGAGGGTTGCTCACCACTGTCAACTAGTCAGAAGAAGGTCAAATTTACGCGACATTTGCGACTTTGTGACCTCGTAGCATCTCTAGTTTTGATTTTACGTGCAAGTATGAGAAAATAAAATTTTGGTTAACATTTTTGAGATTAGGACAGTTTAAGTTTTCTCAATAGCTCTTCAATAGGCTCAGTAACATCACGCCATATAACATTTCGCCACATAACAACTCGCCTAAGTAACATTTCGCCATATAACAACTTGCCTAAGTAGCATTTCGCCAAATAACAACTTGCCATATGACATTTCGAAATAAAACAACGACTCGCCTATATGAAAACAAAAAACAAAATGATAAATTTTATTTAGTAGAAAGTAGTAGTTTATTAGTAAATAAATGTAATTATATAAAATTATAAAACATTGTGTAGCATATTGAAGAATACGTTGAGACATATAAAAGTAGATTTAAATTAAGTGTAGGAGACGGTTTTTATGTCAACCAAAGATGGTTTCCCCCGCTGAGTTGAAGATGCGTGCAGTACTCCTGACATTGTTAAAATTACTGTAATTGCGGATTTTTGGTTTTTGATTCCTGGATTTTCTGGTATAATTTAATTAAAAAAATTATATAAAGGCAAGTTGTTGTTATATGGCAAAATGTTTCTTAAGCGAGTTGTTATATGGCGAAATGTTATATGGCGAGATGTTACTGAGCCCTTCAATAAGAGAAGATAGAATGTAAAACATGTCAGATTTCAATTTTACATAAACTTTAGTTTCACGTGTCACAGTACTTCAGATAATTTTCATCTGGATCTAAGATAATTGTTAATTCCATGTAAACAATGGATCAAGTCTTTTATCCATCGGTATTTATGAATAGAGAAATATAATTATACTAAATACGAATAGTTGAACTTCCTCATTTAAAGTTTGGCCAAGAATGCACTAGGAAAGTAGTTCAACTGGTCAGACCTGGTTCAGCCACTTCTCTTTATTCATTAAACCCGACCTGAGATTCTTCTTTAATTCAACAGCAAAAAATACATGTCAGTCTAGTTCTAACCAGTAGAATGCGGAACTTTTAACCTTTTTTAGATTAGAAATATTACCAAGGAGTTTCTAATGTTTAACTGTTAAAACTAAGGAATGTCTGAAAATGTTCAGAACTCATTGTAAGATAAACAAAAAACTACAAAAAAAAATAATTCAGACGAAAATCATTCTGATTTATTTTATTTCTGCCAAGCGTAAGTTCGAGAAAAAAATTGCTGAGAGTGGGAACAAAAGACCCTTTTATGCATACCTGAAAAATAAAACAAAAACAAGATCAAATGTGGGTCCACTCAAACTAAACAATGTCCTAACAAGTGATGATGAACAAGTTGCCAAAATACTTAATGAGTATTTCTGCAGTGTTTTCACAAAAGAAGATGAAACTCATATACCAAACTACAATATTACCCCACCAATTTCAACAATAGAAGATATAGTTATCACTGAGGACATGGTAAAAGATAAAATCAAAAAACTTAAACCTCACAGTGCCAAAGGTCCTGATAGCATCACACCTAGACTATTAATAGACAACATGGACTCACTTGCCATCCCCCTTTGCATCATTTTAATTACAGAAAATCAATGAGCTCTGGACTGGTGCCTATTGACTGGAGAACAGCAAATGTCACCCCAATCTTTAAAAAGGGTGCTAAAACTAAAGCAGAAAATTATAGGCCGGTCTCTCTAACTTCAATACCTTGTAAAATGTTTGAATCTATTATCAAGGACCAATTAATAAATCATCTTCTGGAAAATCACCTGATAAAAAATACTCAGCATGGATTTCTCAGCAATAAATCTGTTACCACAAATCTCTTAGAATTCCTTGAAAAAATTACTGAGATAATAACAAGCCTCTAGATATAATATACCTGGACTTCGCCAAAGCTTTTGATAAAGTGCCGAAACAAAGACTAATTAAAAAGTTAGAGGCCCATGGAGTTAAAGGAAATGTACTCAAGTGGATCCACAACTGGCTCACTGGAAGAAAACAACGAGTTGTTCTAAATGGTAAAAGCTCAGACTGGTGCAATGTTACATCAGGTGTACCTCAGGGGTCGGTTCTTGGCCCACTTTCATTCATTGTTTTTATCAATGATATTGATGGTTGCACGGATAACCGTATGATAATTAGTAAATTTGCCGACGACACAAAACTGAGTCATCAGCAGGAAGATTCTCATCATATTCAGGAAGCACTTGATAAACTGGTGGTCCGGGCAGACACTTGGGGCATGGCTTTCAACACAGCCAAGTGCAAGGTTCTTCACATAGGGAGAAACAACACTGAGCATGTCTACAACATGAGGGGGGCTGATCTCACAGTTGTTGATCATGAAACTGATCTTGGAATCATTACCCAAAAAAACTTGCGACCTGGACTACAATGTAAAGAGGCAGCAAAAAAAGCCAGAATTGTTCTTGGCCAGATCACACGGGCTTTTACCTATAGAGACAGGCATATTTTTGTGAGACTCTACAAACAATATATTAGGCCACATCTAGAATTTGCAATTCCTGTCTGGACACCCTGGACTCAAGGTGATATAGAACTCTTAGAAAAGATACAGATAAAAATGGTAGGGATGGTTTCCGGTCTGAAAGGTAGGAACTATCAAGAAAAACTTAAGGAGCTAGGTCTGCAAACCCTTGAAACCAGACGGAGAAGATTTGATATGATCCAAACATTTAAGATTCTCAAGGGGTTTGACCGTGTGGATAGCAGTATATGGTTTGAAACTGTTGGGAATGAACCTTCAAGACGAACAAGACAATCTGCTTATCATTTGAACCTAGTTAGGAGGCAAGCAAGGACTGATGTAAGGAGCAACTTCTTCTCAAACAGGGTTATTGAACCCTGGAATAGATTGCCAACTGAACTGAAAGAGAGCAGGACTGTAAAATCATTCAAGGATGGATTGGACACTATCATTTAAACCAAAGATGCTATATAAGACCAAACTGTAGCTCCTGTTATAATCCTACCTGGATTTCTAGGAGTCAACATAAAAGAAGAAGAAGAAAGTGATCATGGAATATCCTAAACTTATCCCCAGAATAAAGTGATCATGGAATACAAGCTCCCAAACTCATCCCTATAGTAAAGTGATCATGGAATACTCAGCTCCCAAATTCATCCCTGGAATAAAGTGATCATGTAATACAAAGCTCCCAAACTCATCCCTAGAATAACTCATCTCTCTCTCTCTCTTAAACTTAGTAGTTTTCGAACTCATATTTCAATTATGTACAGAAAAAGTTTTAAAATACAAGAGATAAAGAATAAAGATGAATTGGATAACGTTAAGCAATCTTTATCTAGGGGGGGGGGTCAGAATGATTTCGAAGATCTTTGGGAAATTTAAATTTTTCAATGCATTGCAATTAAATTTTTTTTTAAATCTTAACTAAGTGTGGGGGGGATATATTTTGAAGCGGTAGGGTTGGGAATTACTTTTCAATAAAACATTTTTAGGTGGATACTGAGTTACACAATGATTTCTATAGATATATCTCGTTTAGGTGGATACTGAGTTACACAATGAGTTTTATAGATATATCTCGTTTAGGTGGATACTGAGTTACAAAATGAGTTCTATAGATATATCTCGTTTAGGTAGATACTGAGTTACACAATGAGTTCTATAGATATATCTCGTTTAGGTGGATACTGAGTTACAAAATGAGTTCTATAGATATATCTCGTTTAGGTAGATACTGAGTTACACAATGAGTTCTATAGATATATCTCGAATGGGTTTGATACGCCCAGGTTTACTCTTCACTATAGAACAGAAGCCCCTATGGATATACGAGCTATATTTTATGTACCAGAGGCAAAGCCAGGTATGTACGTACACTGTACCTAAATGTACAATGTACGTACATTAAGTAATATCTTTCTAACAAGTTCATGTTTCTAAATAACTTTATTTGTTGAAACCCAAATGATTTATATTTGTATTTATATTTAAAAAGTAGTAGTATTTTGATAATAAATGTTTGAGACGCAGCGTTCTGATTTGTTTAATTGTGAATGTCTAGGACTGTTTGAGACTAGCCGTGAGGGTGAGGTAGGTGTAGCACTGTATTGTAGAAAAGTTCTTATCAAAAATAAAATGGAAAACCTGCTCCCGAAATGGTTAAGGTAAATTATAACTTGTTTAATATTTGTTGTCTATAAAAAACCCGTAGTTGATGCTCACGAGGATTTTTTAAACTTCCGAAAACTATGAAATAGGAATAAAAACTGAATTAATTAGTCCAGTGAACATGAGACGGAGCAATTGTGCAGTGAAAACAGAGCCTTTTCTCTCAATAAGTTGATTTTCCAGCTGCGGGTAAAACTATTTGCTTTGTAACAACATTAATTACAGTTAATTATAACTTAAATTTTGTCTTCCCATTCCACAGTTTTCTGGTTCTCATTGTTAGCAACATTAGATGAGAAATCTTTATTAAGTAGTTGTTTTCTTTTACATTTTCTACAGGTCCCGACCTCTCACTCAAAAAGAAAATTGCTAAGTAACATAAACTTTGTTAATCAATAAACTTTGAAAAATTTGATAGATATTAAATGTGATCAGGTTTGTGAAGGGTGTAGTCGACTCCGAAGATATACCACTCAATCTTAGCAGGTCAGTTAATTAGAAACCCCTCTCCCCATAGGTGTATATTTTTCATTTCAGGCAAAAATATGAGTCCCACAACTAATATACACCCTTGCCCCTCCCCACACACCCTAATAGGCTAATTGTCATAGTTTTTGACATATATATGGCGGGAGGGAGGACATTGACATAGCATACTTGTTTTCGAGGGAGAGAAAAATGTCTTAAAACTGTTTGTTATATTTTTATCTTATTTAATTATTTATATCCCAGTTTTTACTAATTTCTTAGGGGGAAATGATTTGTATTTAACATTACACATTTGGACCTAATTCTTAATGATCTATTATTTCATGTTGCAGAAAAAAGTTAAGGAGTTGAAAAACTTGGGGAAAAATATTTTAGCTGAAAATTATCTTTGCTTTTAGTGAAACAAAAGATAACTAGGAGGTTTTAGTCCCCTTGTTACATGGTAATAGTAAAACCACATTGTTATTAGTTTCATTCTTTTTATTATTTTATTTTTTATTTTTTTTATTTTGTAGGGAATTACTGCAGGATAGTTCTTTAATTAGAAAGCTTAGAACTGTCCTTACAAACAGATTCCTACGATTCCTTCAAGAGAGGTGAGATGGTTAGTCAGTTGAATGGATGGTTGGATGGCTACTTAGCGGGTTGGTTGGTCGGTTGGTTGCCTGCTTGATGGTTGCTTAGTTGGATGGTTGCTTGCTTGGACAGTTGGTTGGTTGCTTAGTTAGTTTGTAGGTATCTGAGTATTTGTTTTTATTATTTTGCAAGTTGGTTGATAAAATATTTTTTTTGTCGAAAATACAAAACAAATTTTAAGTACAAAGATGTATCGAATGTGACACGGTTCCAACCTGTTTTTCACTGTAGACCGTAGTGACCACTGACCAGTGACGTAAATACAGCTTTAAAGTGTAGAATGTACATTTTCTTGATTTCCAATTTTACTTGAAAATCTGTTTACCCTTAGACCATAATTGTAATTGGTAAAGCTATGTTTTATCATTAATTTTTCATTTGAACTGTCAAGAGCCCGGAAGGAGACGGCCTCCTACCTTGAGTTCTACAGGGACTACGGGTTCTTCCTTAAGGAGGGGATCATCACCAGCACTGAGAAGAACGAGAAGGAAGAGATTGGAAAACTACTCAGGTAGACCAGCAGTTTTATTAAGATAATAACAATAGTTGTGAAGTGTAAACCAGGGTTGGAATATTCCTTGGTACAGCTAAGCACGGCCGGGTCTGTGGACAATGTACATGACTGTACATTGACTAGGAACCCCCATATCTGATGCGTACAATCTGAGTACTGCTATTGAAGGAGATCTAAACAAAGAATCTAGGGGGAAAACATCATTTATTTGTGTGGTCCCCTTAAATCTTGAAAATATTAACTTAAAAGGCAAGAAAATTGAATGTTAATATGCAAAGAAATATTTATCATGATTTCTTCCATATTTAGAAAATGACTAGCGTTTCTTTAAACTTCTGTCCTACCCTAAAACCGGTTATGTAAGCACTGCATTTGTTTAGATTGCTCCCAGAAAGTACAGTAAATAATTTGGGTTGGGCGTTGAATCAACGTTTACTAACATTGTTGTTAATTTATAATATAAGAAATTACTAAACCTAAACCTATTTGTTTAGATTTGAATGTTCCTCTTTACCAGCTGGGGAAACATTATCTCTACCTGAGTACTGTGGTAAGATGCAGGCCGGTCAGAGGGATATATTCTACCTTTCAGCACCTTCTAGACAGCTAGCAGAGAGTTCTCCATACTACGAGAGTTTAAGGTAACGTACCTCTTTGCAACCTCTAGACAACCAGTTGAGAGTTCTACATACTACGAGAGTTTTAGGTAAAGTACCTCTGCACCATCTAGACAACTAGTTGAGAGTTCTACATACTACGAGAGTTTAAGGTAAAGTACCTCTCTGCACCTTCTAGACAACTAGTTGAGAGTTCTACATACTACGAGAGTTTAAGTTAACGTACCTCTTTGCAACCTCTAGACAACCAGTTCAGAGTTCTACATACTACGAGAGTTTAAGGTAAAGTACCTCTCACTTCCCTTAAGACAACTAGTAGATAGTTCTACAGACTACGAGAGTTCAAGGTAATGTAGCTCTCATCACCCTCTAGGCGATTAGCAGAAAGTTCTCAATACTACCAATACTACGAGAGTCTAAGGTAAGTACCTCTCTGTACTCTCCAGACAACTAGCAGAGAGTTCTCCATACTATATTTAGAAAACATGAACTAGAAGTCCAGTTCTGCTATGAGAGTTATCATGAACACAGTCCTAATGCATGTCCTATACTTAGGAAACGTGAACTAGAAGTCCTGTTCTGCTATGAGAGCTATGATGAACTATAGTCCTAATGCATGTCCTATACTTAGGAAACGTGAACTAGAAGTCCTGTTTTGCTGTGAGAGCTTTGATAAACTAGTCCTAATGCATGTCCTATACTTAGGAAACGTGAACTAGAAGTCCTGTTTTGCTATGAGAATAATGATAAACTAGTCCTAATCTTCTATATTTAGGAAACGTGAACTAGAAGTCCTGTTCTGCTATGAGAGCTATGATGAGCTTGTCTTGATGCAGCTCCAGGAATTTGACAAGAAGAAGTTGACCAGCGTAGAGAAGGAAATGAGACAGGTTAGAAACATCAGACAAATACGGTTTGACATAAAAGCAAATATGTATCCTAGATTTTTTCAAAATTACAAATAATATAAAATTATTCGTATTTAACACTGTTAAGTGTTTTATATAAGGACTTTTCTCGAAACATTAATGATTTGTGCGGTGGCCTCACTTTCCTTTAACGAAACTAAATAGAAATAACAAATTATTCATATTTACAGTTAATTTGAAGTCAGTTAATACCTCAACCTTAGGCTTACTCCTGTATCTACAAGAGATATTTTGTTTAGGATAGTGATGAAGCAGTGGCTAGCGAGGGTTCATTACCTATTACGGAGCAAAGTGAACTCAGTGATTGGATCAAATCTACTCTAGGCATACAATAGAGCACAATACACTAAATACAACACTACACTACACTGTACACTGTACACTGTACACTGTACACTGTATACTGTACACTGTACACTGTACACTGTACACTGTACACTGTACACTGTACACTGTACACTGTACACTGTACACTGTACNGTCATTTTTTAACTTGTTTATATTTCCGAATTGAAAATATAAAACAGTGAATTGTTCCTCACTTTTTGTATCGCTGCATAATTTATGTTACCCTTGTTAAACTTATATTTTACATTTTCATTTGACCATACTGATAAAAAAAAGTTCGACAATGATGCGGATTTTTGCCGTAGCATTGGCAGATTTAGTAAAATCAGCTGTCCCGACCTGTCTATCCTGATTTCTATCCCTTGCTTGTCTATGACTGTGTTGTATCTGACTGTAGGGCAGAAGGTGGCTAAAGTGAGATCGACCGGAAAGCTGGAATCCCATCCATGTGTTGTTACCGTAGAAGAGATGGCGGCAGCAAGACATTTTATAAAAACCCAAGGAATGGTTTTACAAAATACAGATTACAGAAAACTTATTTGTATAATTTCTATGGAATTACGGTTTTGTTCTGATAGGTTTTTTTATTTTTGGGAAAATACATGAGTTTTGAGGGAAAGTATTAAATAGAATACTAAAAGTAATAGCTAACTTGGTATATTCAAAATTTTAGTTTTATCATAGTTTTAAATAGCATTTTAACTGAAATGATTTTTTAGGTTACAAACTTTTAAATATTATTGTTCTTTTTGAACCTTTTGACAGCAAATACTTGTAAACATACTTTTATTTAATTCTTGAAATTTTATATTGTTACCCTTGATTGTGCTCAGGTTCCAACTTCTCAGAGGAGCAGAGGTTTAATATTCTCCAGCCTCAATTTGAACTCAATCCTTCTCATCCTCTCATCAAGAAACTTGCAGAACTAAAAAACTCCGACCCTATTCTAGCCGTGGCACTCACAGAACAGCTCTTTGCTAACGCGATGGTTTCGGCAGGTATGGTATCAAGTTTAAAGCTATGTAGTGGGAAGAAAAGGGTTCTCTTGAGACAAAATTGAGATTACTTATTTGACCAAAGTGCACCGACCAGCTAATTTTTTAAATTTGTCAATAATTGTACATAATTTTCTAGTTAATTTACCAGATAAAATCTGCCACTTTTGATGAAAAAAATTGTAAAAATGTAAAAAATGTGTAAGTAAGTTAAAAACATCATTCTTTACTTGTTAATTTTAATTTTAATTCCCCGCCAAATTTAATCAAAATACAAATTTTTATAGTTATAGTTATAGTATTTATTTTCAAACACAAAATACAAAATAATATTGCATGATGGTTCAGCTTAAAATATAACGCAAAAGAAAATTTATTATGAGCTAATTAAAAATATATTGTTTGATATTTTTGTTTTGATAGTATTTGTTGAAACAAAGTATACATATTGAAAACTCAACTAAGAATACATTCATTGTGCATTAACAAGTAGATAATTAGTCAGCACTCAAATAATCAAAACATTTTCAGGAATGCATTAATTGAACTTATGAATACATATTGATTCAACAAAAGCAATGTATTCTCGTTGACTGTAGTAGACTTTGACATCCACCATTATCAGAGGGTGTGAACCCATTCTTGTTGACAGTAGTAGACTTTGATATCTACCATTAGCAAAGGGTGTGAACCCATTCTTGTTGACTGTAGTAGACTTTGAAATCTACCATTAGCAAAGGGTGTGAACCCATTCTTGTTGACTGTAGTAGACTTTGAAATCTACCATTAGCAAAAGGTGTGAACCCATTCTTGTTGAGTGGAGTATACTTTGACATCCACCATTAACATAGGGTGTGAACCCATATTCGTTGACTGTAGTAGACTTTGACATCCACCATGAGCAGAGGGTGTGAACCCATTCTTGTTGACTGTAGTAGACTTTGACATCCACCATTAGCAAAGGGTGTGAGCCCATTCTTGTTGACTGTAGTAGACTTTGACATCCACCATTAGCAAAGGGTGTGAACCCATTCTTGTTGACTATAGTAGACTTTGACATCTACCATTAGCAAAGGGTGTGAACCCATTCTTGTTGACTGTAGTAGACTTTGACATCCACCATTAGCAAAGGGTGTGAGCCCATTCATGTTGACTGTAGTAAACTTTGACATCTACCATTAGCAAAGGGTGTGAACCCATACTCGTTGACTGTAATAGACTTTGACATCTACCATTAGCAAAGGGTGTGAACCCGTACTCGATGACTGTAGTAGACTTTGACATCTACCATTAGCAAAGGGTGTGAACCCATTCTTGTTGACTGTAGTAGACTTTGACATCTACCATTAGCAAAGGGTGTGAACCCATACTCGTTGTCTGTAGTAGGCTTTGACATCTACTATTAGCAAAGGGTGTGAACCCATTCTTGTTTACAGTAAAAAGGGTTTCGGCCCTAGTCCTGAATATATTTGCAAGCCTGTTGCATGCTTTCTCTCAGAGAGAGGAGGTGTTGACGTCTCAACTGTTAGTCTCAAAATATGGATATGGATGGATGGATGGATGGAAATAGGGAATGGATATGGATATTAACTAATGAGAGATTATAACTAACAATCCTAAGCTTTGTTTTTGAAGTTTCATCACAAGTCTGAAAAAAAGAACCTTTGTTCGTTCACAAAAACTATTCCCATCTCTAAGTCTTTGAACATTTGTTTCAGCCCCCAAATATTAGGAAATGTATCGGAATCAAAATAAAAATAAATTCTAATAAAGATATTTAAAGAAAAACAAAATTAAATTGTTGAATGTTTAGGTTTGGTTGATGATCCTCGAACCATGTTGAACAACATCAACAGCCTGCTCACCATGATCCTGGAGAAGAGTAATCCAACCCACCCACCAGTTCAACCCTCTCCTACAGACGTGGAGGATATTCCTCTTCAATCCAATGCTCATCAGAAAATTAATTAAATTAGATTTTGAATGTTTAAAGTTTTTATATTTTTGCAATGTTTGAATTGTAACTAAATTTATTGAGAGATGAAGTACAATGAAGTAAAATGAAGTAAATTGTAAACTTTAAAGTGTATAAAGCCGCATTTTAATGCACTGCCATGCAGAAATTATTTGCAATGCTGCTGTTCTTATATTTCTACCATTTTGTTAAAATCTTTTATGGCGCCAATCTCAGAAAACAAAATGGTGGCAACCTCGAGATATTAAAATGGCGCGTAAAACTGGAGATTCAAACTCTTATGGATGATCTGTCATGTGACCTCTCACAGTCATCAGGAACCCAAACTTTAATAATATACTGAAAATAAATTTATTTTTCATGGAACTTTTTGAGGTTTTTTTGTCTAATTTCAATAAATGAACTTGGTGTTAATAAATTTTCTTGAGAACTTTTTTAAATACTGTAGATTTTGTTGTTATAAAGTTTATGTAAGTAGACTGGATATTCCATCAATATATCCCAACTTCAAAGGATTTTATGAATTTAAGGTAATACTTTGATTTGATAAGTAACCTATAATACTTCTTTTGGGGTTTTACAGTTCACAAAATATAGAGGTCATTTCTGTCTGACTTACCCCTTTTAAACAATACATAAAGCCTAATTCTTATTATCGGGAGATCAAGATGTGTGGAATATTATTAATCTTGATCGCCTGATCTTGATATGCAATGTGGACACTTCTAATTTAAAGGATAAATGATCGAACCACAATTGAAAATAATCCTTTTTTCATATTTCAAACATCGATATCTAATTCAGTCTTGATCAGATAAAGCTTTTAAGGGTGCCGTTGTAAATCAGGCATTGGCATAATTGCATGGAGGGTCATTAAGAATTACGTTAACAGTCCCTTTCAATCAGATTTTTAAACATACTATTCTGTAATGCAATTATGAATATTTTAAGTTCACATTTTTATTATTATTTAGAACTGCGTTTATAGCGCCTGGAGGAGGTCAGCAAATTTGCAATCTAAATACATTATTAGCTTAGTTTCTACTTTCTTAGTCCAGCAACTTTAAGTTTTCTATCTTCAGTTTTCTTGTAGAGCATACCCAAAGTGTAGGGCGACCAAGAAATTGAGCCTTTAATTTATTATCTTTGACTATTTTTTAAGTAATATTTTTGAGATATTTTTCATTCGTTGTTTTAAAATCCAAGCAGACATCAGAGCTGAAACTCTGTCTTTAAGAGTTTTATTATGTGAGTTAAAAAATCTAATTTTCCTGGTATTATTGTTTCTAATGTTAACAATCACTAATATTAATGTAATGATAATACTGTGGTATAATATTATTTGTAATAAACTTGAACAAGAATCCTATATTCAAAACTGTTATTTTAATCAAATCTGTTAAAGTTTGTACTTTTATTTTTTTTTCAGAATTAAAATGGCGCTTAGTCCCGGAGATCCCAGTTCCTATGCCCGACCGGATCATGTGAAAACTACTCATATTCATTTAGGAAAACAAACTTTAACTTTAACAAACATGTCTATTGCTGTGATATGGTGACTTGAAAAGAAAACATTCATATTAACAACTGTACCTCAGAAATCAAGATAACTTTCAAATCTCCATTTGAACTAAATATGTCGTAACTCTTTTTCGTGAACTGAACTGAACTGAACTGAACTGAACTGAACTGAACTGAACTGAACTGAACTGAACTGAACTGAACTGAACTGAACTGAACTGAACTGAACTGAATGTGATACAGTGATAACCAGAAAACATTAGGGTGTGTATTCGATGTTGCTTCAAAGCAGATTGCTTTATTAGACACTTTTTTAATTGCTAATTTAAATTTAGTGAAATGGGTTGGTCTGTTTACACTACATCACTGGACTATTTAAAGTTATAACTTGATTCTAAAAGTCGTCTTTCTATTTCAGAGTTTTCTGATTATTACTGTATGCCATGTCAGATTTTAATCTTATTTTCATCAGAAGTTATTATATTAAGTTTTTGACAGGGTTGGCATAAAAAAAAACCACCTGTAAGTGGGCTTTTTTGGGTTGTATTGTTTTTTTAGAATTTTTCTAATTATTGCCTTTTCTTCCCTTTTATAATGATTAACTCTTTAAGAAATAATAGTATTTATAATAGCATTTATTCATTTCCTAAGACTTAAACCAATGATCTTAATAACATGATTATTAAAAACAGTATGAATAATGAGTTATTTCAAAAAAATATTGAATTGATCAAAGTAGTCAACCTTGTCACTCTGGACTTCAAGACTGTTTCAGGATTTAGATAAATCCAATTGTAGAAAACTTTTGAAGCAATCAATCATCTGCAGTGCCTGTTTTTTAAAACAAGTATTAGATATATTGAAAAGTCCAAGAAGATACACAGAACTTCCATCAGAGTTTCAAAATTTGTTGCGATAGAACAAGGATATAAAATTCCTTTCTTGAGCATATACATATATATCTTCCGATTAATCTGAGTAGCCCCACCCCCTATCAGAAATATGTATCCTGGTGAGAAAATAAAATTAGTCTGAAATTCATAGAGCTATAATATAAAAAATTGCAGTTTTCTCCCAATGAAGAAGGGAGGTGATATTATTGTATTTTAAGAGTATTTATATATGATTATAATAGCCTATTATCACAACAATATTATTTTTATTAACTATAAAGTTTACCTATCGCTTAAATGGTCTTATTATTATGGATTAGTTTGAATTTTAGAAAGTTTTATTTATTTTCAACTAGAAAAATCCAAAAAAAGCCCCCAAAAATCAATAAACCCCACTGGGCTGGGTTCCTCTTTGAAAGAATCAGGGTTTTTCCAACCCTTGTTTTTGAAAGATCAAAAAAAAGTTTTTTTTCCTGCTAGATTGGGATTTGGATTTTGACAAGAAGATTCTTTCTGGTGAATGCATTCTGTCCATGGAGAAAGTGGATAATGGAGGTATCTACTTAGCTTTTAAATCATGAAGCTTTTTATAAATTGCTTTATTGAATATTTTTTTTATGAATAAAATCTTGAACAAAGAAAATAGTGAAGAATGGTTTCTCCAAGTGAAGAATTGGCCGGTCATGTCTTACGCAATAAGACATTTTTTTTCTTTGAATTGGTAGATTTGTTACTCAAATTGGACGGGATTCCATCCAAAGGAATTGAGTTTTAGCAACAAACTTAAATTTTCGAATTCCAATATCTTAGCGACCTGATGTTGTACACATTTGATATTTCAAACTTAGATAAGTTGAGCTAGCATAATTCATAGTTTGGAATATCTAAGGTCTACGACATTTGGTTTGAACAATACAAGGACTAGAAAATCAGAGTTTGTTGCAAAGACTCAATTCCTTTGTGAAGAACAAATTGATGACCAATTGACCACAGCCTGATTTTGTTTTAATTATTGTTTCCATGTTTGAATTGTTTTCAGTGAGCTGTGTACTACTGGACTGTAGAACTATATCAGTATCTAGTGTCATCTATGAACCAACAGGTACTGGTCCATTGTCTGCAGCCCAGTAAATAGATAAAATAGGTTAATGGGATAGCCGATCGAGGGGCTTTAACCTAATTTTTAGGGTTTATTTATATTTTTTGGTAAAGTGATTGAAGATTTTTTTCTATTTTTTTTCTCAACAAGCTTTCAAGGAAAATGAATAAAAGAGAATACATGCACTTGTAGCATGAACCAGTTTTTCACAGATATAAACATATATAAACACATTGTGTTATCAATATTATTTTAATATCTGGGACATCGCTACAAATAGCTTTTTATCTGTTTTAGGGGAGAATTTGACTTTCAAGATTGACGGCGAGACTAGTTTTGGTTCCAGGATGGAGATTCAGCTCCCCTCAGGCTCTGAAAAAACTTTTAAGGTTGAATTTTTAATTTCTTTCTAGCAACTACTATTCAGTCTTCTAATACAGGGGAAAATAGTTCCTAAACTAACATTTGGCCCATAAATGGGCCAAATGTTGAAAGACTGGGGTTTTTGGATCCCAGCTCATATTGAGAGTAAAAGTTGATAATTAAAACTATAACCAACATTTTTTAACGCATGACGAGGACAACAATTCCCAATTTAAAACTATTTTCTGGAATTAAAATTATAAAAGGAGTTCTTTCTATATTAAAACCCTTGACCGTTTTCAAGACAATGTCAGGTTTTCCATTTTCGAACATATCCTGAATTTTAATCATTTTCGCGTTTTCCAGACAAAACCCACTTTCTCGTTTTTGAGTATAACCCGCCATTCAGAACAAAATTCACTCTCATAACTTACAAATTAAATCACTGAAAGTAAAAATTATCTCATGAAGACTAAGTCAACTGCTAGATTATTTCTAAAATCTTAATTTCTCTATTTGATTTGTTAAATAAGAGAATAAAGTGTTTATTTAATTTCCCGCATTCTAAATAAACAATTTCCCTGATTTCCAGTTAAATCCATATTGCAAGAACACAATAAAATTAATATTTTAATTTCTCGATGCTATAATGATTTTTAAATTATTAAAGAACAGTATTTTCTTGTTTTCTATTTTGTTTGTATTTTACCTTATCTAAAAATCTTGTTTTGTTACGCAAAGTGCTTAAATGCTTGGAAATTGACGTTGATATGAATTCTAGTAATTGTCTCAAAGTCAGGATATTTTTTTGAAAATGCAACAAGGTAATTGTATTAAATAGGGATATGTTCGAAAATGCAAAGCAAATCATCAAAAACTAATTCTCACACCTTATTATTTGGTTAAAGATGACATTTCTTGTTTCTATAGTAAGTTTTAGCCATTTTTAATAAGTGTATGGTGTAGTTTTGTTCAACTCGGCTTGGATTACAAGATATATGCACTTGAAAAAGATAACTTTGCAGAATTGGCCCATATCTAACACCAGTGTTAGATATGGGCCAAGTGTTAGTTTGGGAACTAATTTCCCTTGTAATTTAACTCCATCTTATAGTAAGGATGCCTCAATCAATCCCTGAAAAAAATGATTTGATTTGATGTATGTTGTACTGAATTTTGATAAGAATTAAGGATATGTTAACCCAGATTCATGGGTCAGTAAATTTGTCCATGATCGAATGAACTTGTCATTTAGCTGATCCTGAAGTACTCCACCAGTCCTGAGTGTTCAGCGCTGCAGTGGTTGTCCAAGGAGCAGACTGCTGGAGGTACTCAGCCCTATGTATTCTCTCAATGTCAGGCCATTCATGCCAGATCCATGCTGCCTTGTCAGGTATACCATAGCACTTATTGTTATCAATTCATTTTACACCTATCTGCTCATTATGTAGAAATGATTGTTTTTTATTTAACTCTCAAACTTCCCTTTAAAGATTTGCTGAAGTGATTTACTTCTCAGGATACGCCTTCAGTTAAAGCTAGTTACTCTGCTAGTGTTACAGCACCTCTAGGGATCACTGTTCTTATGTCTGGGATCAGGTAGATTAGGTGTAATTTGCAATGAGGTTATATTTACTAATTTTATAGGCCATAAACTATAACGAGAGCGCACTGCATATTTGTTTATTATAAGTTGATTCTGGCCTAACCTATAGTATATTAATATTAGCAAACAGTTTTAAGTGTACAGTACAGCTAACTGAGCACGCAAGTAGAGAACTATCATCCCCCTATCATCTGGGAAAGTCTAGCAGGCCTAGTGCTGCTGGTAGAAAAGACCATGAGTGAGATTTGCAGCTAGAAAAGGCTAGGGTACTTGTTAGACTCATAGAACAAATAATGGATATTTAAGACAAAGAGCAAATCGCAAACATATCCAAGGGAGAATAAAGCTGAGCCGGGAGCCCCCCCCCCCCCCCCCCTTAACTGACAAATTTCTGAATAAAGGGAATGGGTAATAGATCAAAGTTGGCCTAACACAAGAAAATTAGGTGGAAGACCAAATGGCAATATAGTATATGTTCTTCCACATTTGATGGTTCACCAATTGTAGTTAAATGTTTTTATTAAAACGTTAATTATCTCTATTTTCAACAGGAAATCTGATGAAACTGCTGAGATTTGGAATGGAAAAAAGAAGTTTAAGTTTGAGCAGCCAATACCTGTTCAATCCTACCTTATTGCCATAGCTGCTGGAGCCATTGTTTCTAAGAAGATTGGACCAAGGTTAGTCCTACTTCAAAAATTGGTGTTATTACAAATAAAAGTGGAAGGCAATTAGCACTGTCCTTTTTTAGATCCCATGTTTGGGCTGAGGAGGCCTTTATTGAGAAAGCTGCATTTGATTTCGCAGATACAGAGGCCATGCTGAAGACAGCAGAGGTTAATCTTGTTGAGAATAAGAGCAGCTTCAATTTTTATAATAACGAAAAATAAGTAATGCATTAAAAATCAAGCTATATGTTGTTACACTTAGTATTAATGAATTATTTCTGTTATTTAGGATCTATGTGGTCCATATGTTTGGGGAGAATATGATATTCTGATTCTTCCTCCTTCCTTTCCCTTTGGCGGGATGGAAAACCCATGCCTCACCTTTGCTACCCCGTCTTTGCTCTCTGGGGATAAATCTAATGCTGATGTCATAGCTCATGAGGTTAGAAACTTAAATACAATTTTTAATGATAAATTATTAAACATCTTTGAACATTTATTTTCTAGATTGCTCATTCCTGGACCGGAAATCTTGTGACCAACTGCAATTTTGAGCACTTCTGGCTTAATGAGGGTTTCACAGTATTTGTGGAAAGAAAGATACTGGTAATTTAAAATGATTTAATGTTACTAACAGATTTTTCAGAATTTTTGCATATTTTTTAAGTATCCTGATACCTGAACTTCTGGTTATATTAATAAAGTTTTATTAGGGTCGTCTGCATGGAGAACCCTATCGACACCTTAGTGGCATTTTAAGGCAGAAAATTATGACCCATAAAATCATAGTATCATAATTCTGTAATAATTCTTGCTTGAGATCCTGATTTAACCATTTATGTCATGATTTCTGATTTAGATGGAAGCAACTAGATGAATGTGTTAATGAGGTAAATAAAATTTCATGGTTGTTTTTAAGTCTCAAATATGGAATCAACTTTTTAAACATTTCATTTTATTAAAAAAAAATTTTAATTCAGACATTTGGTCCTGAAAGTCCATTCACAAAGCTTGTTGTGGACCTGAAGGGAATTGACCCTGATGATGCTTTCTCAGGAAATCTTTATTTTCAGCACCCATATAAAACTTGAATTTATTATTTTTGTTTTAAATGATTTCTGAAAACTAAAATTTTTATAGTCAACTATTTTTGACTTAAGATTGGAGATTGAATTTTGTTACATATTTGAACTTGCCAAAATAAGAATATTAGAGACCTTTCATGAAATATCATTGATAATCATGTTGAAATTCATGATGCAGTTATCCCGTATGAGAAGGGAGCTACATTCTTGTGGTATCTAGAAGAGCTGGTAAAAACTTTTTATTTGTTGAAATAAGTATTTAAAATTTCTTATTACTTACTTGAAATACTTGATGAGTTATCCCCAGGACTCCAGGTAGGAGCATAACGGGAATTTCAGTTAGGTCCTCTTGGAGGTGGAAATTTTGCTGGTGGGTTCGTTTGAACCATTCAGTTAATTATTTGGAGCTTTTTTGTTTGGGGTTATGGATCATGCAAACTTAAAGTATTAACTGAAATGTAATGTGTTTCTGGCCATTTGTTATGTTTTAATGAGAAGCCAGGCCTTCAGTTAAAATATTCATTCCAGTTATACTAACTAATTTTTAACAATATAATTTTCTCATTTCATTTTAAATTTTCTATAATCTATCTCACTTCAGAATTTAAAAAACATATTTTAGTTGATAATTTGTTATTTCATCAAGATCCAGAGACCAAATTTTATGAATATTAAGTCAAAGACAGTTTAACAGCATGGATTAAAACATAATATAGACCACTATATTACGTGCTTTATTTCTTAAATTGGGTCCCAGAGGTCTAAAATGTGCTGAATTAGATCCCTATCACTAGTTGAAATACCATGCTGTTCATAGAATGTCATAAAATAAAACTTAAAATGTAATTCTATAGTTAAAAAATTTGATTTCTGGTTATAATTATCTCTTAAGGTGGGAGGAGCTGATCAGTTTGAACCATTCCTTCGTGCATATTTTGAGAAGTTTAAACCTAAATCTATCTCTACAGATGACTTCAAGGAATAAAACAGTCAAGTTTATACAAGAACATCATGAATTTATGACTTTGATCCCTTTTATTATTGTTTGCATAAGTTAATGCGCAAGGATGGTAGCACTAACCTGTCCTAGTCCAAAGCCAGACCTCCAGATCTGAAACATCAGATCGTTGAACTCATGGTACATGATGTATTGGAACATGAAAGGCCATCACATAAACTCCTGGGGGAAAGTAGGGAATGGTGAGGATATGTGACCATGTGAGGAAAGTAGAGAGGGTAGGATAAGGTAGGTTCAGGTAGGAGAGAAAGTAAAGAACTGTATTCTCATTTCCTAAAGAATGGAGACTATATTCAGAGCTGAAAACTTTAGAATGAAGTATCCAGATATCCTGTTGGATAATTAATCTGAAGATTAAAAGTCATGAGGTAAACAAGCAATATTTAATTCCGACATTAAGAAAAAGAGGGGATTAAGCCTTAATCCTGATATCCACCATTCTAAAGTTTTCAGCTCAGGTAAGCTATGGTAAAGTTTTAACAAGAATTGACAAAGAGAAGAAAACATTCTGTGGGTTACAATGGGTTCCCTGATAAAAGCTTTTAGGTTATTGGTTTGGGTGCAAAATTTGAACTTCAAACTAGAGTCTTTTGTGTTTCTGACTGAAACATCAGTCAATCATAAGTTCTTCTGGAATATGAAATATAAACTAAGGAATATTTACTGATCTTTGGAAATATTTTTGAATTTAAAATCTTTTAATTACTATTTGGAGTAATCCTTTACAAACTGTATCTTAACACCAAACTTATGACTGGAATAATAAGGAGTTTTTCATTGAGTACTTCTCTAACGTTGAAGCTATCAAGGATATTGATTGGGCCACCTGGTTGTATGTCTCAGGAATGCCACCATACAAGGTGAGTTTTTCATTTACAAAGTTTTCCACACGCTCCCCTGAGTTCATATATTACATTTATCAACCAAGAAGAACATTGTTTATGCCTGATATTCATTTTGACCAGGGGTGTATATAATTCCAATTTGGGGGGAAGAATTTTATACACCCCTGATTTTGATGTTTGACATTTAATTAGAATCTAACTCATATGAATTAATTGACGGCTGCCCTGCTATTTACATGAAGGAATTTTATTGAAAAGAGTTCAATGGCTTCTATAGCGCAATGTAATAAAATTCTTATTTCTAGTGTAAATATGTTTTTAGCCTAAGTTTGATGAGAGCCTGGTTCTTGAGTGCTATAGTTTAGCTGAGAACTGGAGAAACTGGAATCCTGACTATCCCTGTACCTTCACAGGGTCAGAAATCAAATCATTCTCTAGTGCTCAGATCAGGGTAAGAAAATTTATTTTCTGTCCCAATTAATTTTTTCCCCAATTAAGCAGTAAATAGGCATTAAAGCATAAAAGAGGATTTTTGAAGTGGAGATTGGAGGGTAATCCCCCTTATGATCCAGTCCGGACTGCCTTGTCTTCTTTTTCACAATGTAGTCTAAGATAAACACTGAACACTATATGAAAATTTGAATTGCCTATTCAGGAGTTCCTGAACAGTCTATTAGTTGGATCTGCCCTACTCCCTGCTGTAGTGGAGAAAATGGAGAACCTCTATAAACTTTCTGAGAGTTGTAACATGGAGATTCTGTTCTCCTGGATTAGGGTTGGGATTGCAGCAAGGTCAGTCATACAAACTTTCAGGGGTAGTTATTTTTTTAGAGTTCCAGAATATTTTGTTTCATATAATAGTCATTTATTGTTATATAAACAAAAATATATAGAATTAACTTGAACATTTTCTCTCATTTTACAGAAATATCCTGAACAAGAAAAATATTCCTTACACACTTGAGAGAAGGCAGATTACATAGTTACATAAAGTGGGAGGGGAAATGACAAAAGCAGCCAAAAAGGCCGACTTCATTTTGGAAATATTAGTGCAAAGCAAATTTGATGATTATTGTTTTACGTATCAGGCTAAAACTAGGTTCGAAAATGAATGCCTTAATTTATCTCAAGAATATGACAGGTCATTTTCTATTAATTACAGTCACATAGATAATAAGTTTAATTGAATCAGACCTGCTTTAAACCTACAGAATGGGCGTGCAGAGCATTCTAAATGCCATAAACACTAATAATAATTAAATTTTGTCATATTTAATGATGTAATTAAGGTGGGAAGCAGCAGTTCCACTAGCAGTCAAGTTGGTTACAGACATTGGAAGGATGAAGTTTTTAAGGAATCCCCATTTTTTATTATTCTGGAAAATAGAAATTTTAAGGGGTATCAAAATTTAGCATTAATAAGGTATGAACAGAGCTGAAAACTTTAGAATGGTGGATATCGGGATTAATGCTTGATCCTCTCTTTTTGATAATCTCAAGATTAACATAATCTTGCAAGATTATCTTAAAAGTGTATGAAAAACGATAAAATTCAAATCAATATTTAATCATCTGAGAAACTGAGCAGCCAATCAGAGAAAAGCTGGCGACCAATGAGAGAACAGAAATATTCTCATTGGAGAAAACAATTTAGGGATATCCAAGGAGGGAGAAAAAGAGTGGATTAAGGACTAAAATGAAATGTTTCCACAGTGGGTATTCGGATCAAGAAGTCAGGATTAAAGTTTATCCATTCTAAAGTTCCCAGCTCTGATCATTAAAATATTTTACCACCTCGTTACCACTACTTTTTCAGGAAATTAAAAATTTTACTGAACCATGGTTTCCCTCAACCAATATTGCTACGCTCTGAATGTTTTGGTAGGCAAAATTGATTTTGGAAACCAGAACCTTAGGTAAAGTAAAATTCTCTTAATTTCCCTGTAAAGTAGTTAAGTATTTGTACCAAATCTTTAATATGTTTTTGATGTTTCAATCCATTTTCTCAGCCAAACCAGGCTGACAAATCAAACAATTTTAAAGCCTGGGGTTATCTTGATCTTATCAGAAAATGATTGTTGAATATAACATTTGTAATATCTAAAAACTTTTAATTGGTGTACTTCCCTTAATTCTTTGGGTTTTATCAAAATGGCTTATTTTAAAGACCACTGTATCGTGATCTGTATGCCTGGGAGGCTAAGCGTCAGGTTGCACTGGATACATATACAGCAAATAAGAACCAGATGATAGCAGTGTGCAGGGATATGCTTGCCAAGGACCTACATATTTCACAATGACCTCTACAATCATCTAATGTAGTTTGACACAGGAAACTTGTGTTTAAATTTCTAATAGTGTTTGAACATCATGAACCAGTGATTTTTATCTGATTTTGAAAGTTTTTAACCTATAAGTTTATAAAGTGTAAATTAAATTTTTTTACAGTTTGCATTTTAATACTATTAGATCATGTTTGTGATCCAAGGTCAAATTGATAAATTTCAAAATTTGTTGCTGAAAGTTTGAACTATTTAGAGTATTATGGTAAATAGTATTTTAGAAATCAGTGCATAATGCCAATAGTAATTCAAATTTTTTTAAACAAGATGTTTTTTGTCCCCAGGTCATAATTGGGTTGTTCCAATAAAAAATCTTGGAATTTTTCTATTGGTAAAGTTTGGTGGTGTTTTGGGTTTATATTGATCTACCAGGGGTTTGTAATCTGGCATCACATTCATCTATCCACACTTCATTCATACTGAAAATAGGGTTGACATGATTCCAGCTGCCTAAGGGCTTCTTAGACCTGAGAATAGTAGATTGCAGGACAGGAACATCACACTTATTGCTCCTAGTCATTTGTAAGCCCAGATTGGATACCTCCTGGTACTTATAGCTGGCAACCATAGACTTTCCCTGCTTGTCCACTTTTCCTCTCTTCAATATCATTCACTTGGATCATTCCACTGAACGCTTCTTTCTTGTTAAGAAGAAAGCACTCATTCTTTCCCTGCGAGAGTTGTTGACAGCCACCCCTTGTGTCCTACATCCGTCACGTGGTCATAACTGCTTAAACAGATGTTGGCTTCAGATGTTTTTTAAGCCACAGGTTTGTGTGGAGTTCGGGAATCAAACCCGTGAACACCAGTTTGGACAGTAATCCAGTTACTGCCTGTAGACAAGTGGGCTAACAAGAACTGGCGTCACACACTCCCCACCCCACTACAATTGAAATTATTCAACACATAATTAAATTTTTGTAATCTTAAAGCTTTAAACTTTTTTTCAGATTTAAAATGGCTCTTAGTCCAGGAGATCCTAGTTCCTATGCCCGACCTGATCATGTGAAAACTACTCATATACATTTAGGAAAACATACTTTTTTCTGGGATATTCTTTGTTCAACAAATATATCTATAGCTCTTTAAACGGTCAAACAAACTAGGATTAAAAGATAAAAGGCCAGGGTTAAACAGTCTAGGGTCTAAAAGTTTGACAAAGTGGGAAAATATATTACCATACACATTTCACATTGGCAAAACTACATATGCTGCTACAATTACTCACTCACTAGTCTATCACACAGTTTAGAATTGTGACAGCATCACTCACTCCTAGATTGGCCCAGTTGTTGTCATTTGACCTTGGTTGTTTGACCCTAGGTTGTTTGCCCCAGGCTGTGCACCACTTTTGAAATATTTATATCAAGTTGTTTCTCCTGCTAGATTGGGATCTGGATTTTGACAAGAAGATTCTGTCTGGTGAATGCATTTTGTCCATGGAGAAAGTGGATAATGCAGGTATCTAAAGAATTCATAAATTTAAATTTATCAAATTTGCCATCCCTGAAATTATATCCAGCTTAAATTGGGAGGTTTTCACCTCAAGTTTTGAATTTCTTCAAATTGGTTCTTTATGGAACTTAGTGATTACCTTAACAAGCTTTTGTTAAACTTATATTCTGATTTTTTAAAGTGAGCTCTGTACTACTGGACTGTAGAACTGTATTAGTATCTAGTGTCACCTATGGGCCAACAGGTACTGGTCCATTGTCTGCTATTTCCTTTTAATATATAAATCAAGCCATTATTTTTCCCCACAAAATAAATCTCTGTTTGGTAGAATGTTTGCATGCCACCCTAATTGTATCTTATGTCTTATGCCATACTGGTACATTGTCTGTTGTTCACCTTTAATATATATAACTAATTAAATCAAATATAAGAAATAGGGGCTCAATTGTTATTACTTTTGTTTACCTTTTTTTCGGAAATATCTTGATTCATGGTCAACATGTCTGATAATTATATCAAATATGTTCTCCTGCAACATAATATTTAATGAGAGGATGATTATAAAACCTTTGGTGTGCAGGGCTTATGATCCAGTATTTCATAGATCTTAAAACGCATTTAAACAAGGGCTTCTAGAATCTGAAGCCCTTGTGTTGTGGAGTGTGGGTCTTTCATAGTGTTGTTTAAAAAGACCAACATTATGAGCTGAAATGATATTATGAACTTGAGGCTCAGATTGATAATGTTTTTAACACTTTATTCTGCTGAATAGATTAAAATCAAAGAGTTTTCTGCTTCAGGGGAGAATTTGACTTTCAAGATTGATGGCGAAACTAGTTTTGGTTCCAGGATGGAGATTCAGCTCCCCTCAGGGTCTGAAAAAACTTTCAAGGTTGGCCTTATTATCCAGTATCTTTTTTCATATATAAGAGGTAAATTTGCATTAACATAAAAATGACTACATAGTTTAATGGATATGAAACAAATATAGCAAGTCTCTTTGAATAAACTTTAAGCACACGAAGTGTACAAATAGCTCTTTACTCTCTACCTGTCCTTAAAAGACAAAGGTTTTCATCGAACTAACTTTTATTACTAAAGATACCACTTTTGCTCGGACCGACATAGCGGTCAGCACATTCAAATACGAAAATATATTTACAAGGTTAGGGTTTTCTAAGATAGATATTTATTTTTATTTCAGATATTTCTCCTTGGCCAATTTCAGGCTTTATGAACTTGTCTAGAGTATAGTTTAAATAGTTCTGGAACGAAACTGTTTACAAAATTAGTTTGTTCTATATAACTGACCATCCTTACATTGACTTTCAAAAAGTGTCCGGTTATATAAATTTTAAATCTATTTAGCTGATAATGAAGTACTCCACCAGTCCTGAATGTTCAGCACTGCAGTGGTTGTCCAAGGAGCAGACTGCTGGAGGTACTCAGCCCTATGTATTCTCTCAATGTCAGGCCATTCATGCCAGATCCATGCTGCCTTGTCAGGTATACCATAGCACTTAATCAATGCATATTGTTTTGTTATCATCAATATTAATTTTACACCTCTTAAGACATTTCACTAGTAATATAAGAATAAAAAGTCTGGAAAGAAATCATTATCATTGGAGTAATATTTGGGACCCCCTTTTACCAGAGACCCTTCAAATTTGCATCTCAAGCTTATCATCTGAGACCCTTTTTTTTGGAGACCCCCATTGATGCAATTCTGTGGGTTTCTGATGATCAACTTTGGGTCTCTGATGAAACACTTGGGATCTGAAATAAAATTTGGGGGTATTCAAGGAAAATCTTGGGTCTCTAATGATTACCTTGGGGTATCTATTGAAAGTCTGGAGTCTCCTATGATAAGCTTGAGACGTCTGATGATTAGTTTTTGGTCTCCAATAAAAATCTGGGGTATCCGATAAAAGGCTTGTGGTCTTTAATGAAAATCTGGGTCCCTTGGGGTCTCAGATAATACTCCCTCCAATGATGATGATTTATTCTCAAACTCAAGAATAATTTGCATAAAGAAACTTTCAATTCTTTGCATATGAACCTTTTACTCAATTCACTGTTACTGATTTATATACATTTAGCATTGCTATGTTATTTGATTTATAGAAAATAACAACAGAAATCAACCCCTCCCCTCCTCCGAAAAAAATGGTATCTCGAAATATCAGTTGCAGGCTCTAAACCACATCTCATTCATGGGTTTGTACAGAAGAATGTCCCTCCAAGACTATTATAATTTGAATTAAAATTGTGATTTACTTCTTAGGATACACCATCCATAAAAGCTAGTTTCTCTGCTAGTGTAACAGCACCTCTTGGAATCACTGTTCTTATGTCTGGAATCAGGTAGGTAAAGGGGTAATGGGTTACTTGACAGAACAAAGTTAAACATCTTCATTTGTTTTGAAGAATTACTCACCTGGATTTTAGAAGATTCTGAAACATAAAAAAATTGCTACTAAAGCCTTTTATGAATATTCCTCCTATCAGCAGTAAAAAAATATTTTTTTAAGAATAAAAATATATTCCCCCCTCTTCTAGCCTTTCTGATCTATTAACAGGAAAGCTGATGAAACTATTGAGGTTGGGAATGGAAAGCAGAGGTTTAAGTTTGAGCAGCCAATACCTGTTCAATCCTACCTTATTGCTATAGCTGCTGGGGCCATTGTATCTAAGAAAGTTGGCCCAAGGTAAGGTTTATTTCTAATACTGATAAATATAAGAAAAGAGTAACTCTGATCTCCTTTAGGTCTCACGTTTGGTCTGAAGAAGCATTTATTGAGAAAGCTGCATTTGATTTCGCAGATACTGAGGCCATGCTGAAGACAGCAGAGGTTAATTTTACAAGTTTTAGAATTAAAACCACATGAGACAATTATTTAACATTCATAAAAAACTATGCCTTGAGTCTTGACCTAACAAATAAACATTGCTTTTTAACACATTTTTGATATTCACAAGATAGAACATAAAAAGTTAACAATTGTTCTATATAATTTTAATTATGCCCAATATTACAGAACTCTTCAAATTAGGATCTGTGTGGTTTGTATGTTTGGGGAGAATATGATATTCTGATTCTTCCTCCTTCCTTTCCCTTTGGTGGGATGGAAAACCCATGCCTCACCTTTGCTACCCCGTCTTTATAAGAACAGGGAGGGAATTTCTTCCCATTTTATCCAAAATACTAATTTCTTATTTATTTTAATTCAGACATTTAACCCTGAAAGTCCTTTCACCAAGCTTGTTGTGGACCTGAAGGGAATTGACCCTGATGATGCTTTCTCAGGAAATCATTATTTTCAACACACATTTGAAATTTGATTTTAAGATTTTTGGAATTTACGTTTTGAAAATACACTTTGAATTTGAATTTTAAAACTTTTTCATACTGGATATTGGAGATTGAATATTTTATGTTTTTAATCATCTATTCTTGTAGTAGCTTTTGTAGGTTGTTCCATGGCATATTATGTCTTCCAACGAAATCTTGATGGCAATCTTGTTAAACTTGATGATGCAGTTATTCCGTATGAGAAAGGATCTACATTCCTGTGGTATTTAGAGGACCTGGTAAAATAAACTTGTGACTATTTGAAATCAGTGCTTTGGATTCATTCTACTTTGATGTGGATCCAGTTCCTAATTGATTCAGATTCAGGTCCAGGTCAAGCCCATTCATATTTATCAGGACTATTGGCCGATAATTATTGTCAAATGTTTTTTGGGAGTTTGATCCATGAATATTGTAGATAGTGATCCTAAGCACTGGTTAAAATCCCATGAATGTAACGTCATGAAAAATTGAATCGTCAATTGTCAATTATTAAAAATTGCTTTTTTTATTGCTTAGGTGGGAGGAGCTGATCAGTTTGAACCATTCCTTCGTGCATATTTTGAGAAGTTTAAACTTAAATCTATCTCTACAGATGACTTCAAGGAATAAAACAGTCAAGTTTATACAAAAAAAAATAAACAATTCATGACATTGATCCCTTTTATTCTTTTTTTTAGTGTTTTTTAATTAAAATCTAGGTATAGTTTGAACAGGAATTGAAAAATCTTCAGTACTTACTTTTAGACTTAAACAATTTTCTTTTTTTGTAAGTTCTCCTGAAAGACTTTAGGGGTTCCAGGTATTCTAGTATATCTATATATAAATTTGGCTTGTCTGTCTGTTTGTCTGTCTGTCTGGGTGTCTGTCTGTTTGTATCCAATAAACGTCAAAACGGCTGAACCGATCGGGCCCAAATTTTTTGTGGGACATCTAGGGACCCCAGGGAAGGTTTATGAATGATTGAAATTTTAAAAATTTGTGTTTTAAAGGTTTTTAATTTTGTAAAAAACTTAAATTTTTGAAAATCCGCGAATTATTTTTTAAAAATCCGCAAGATTTTTTTCATCTTTGTTTTGAAATGTAAACAAAAAGAACATGATCACAATTAAAATAGAAGATGGGCGCGAAGCGCCCTAAA